CCTTACGGAATAAATGAGTAAATCATACATGTCTTGAATAATGTTTGTGTTGCAGATGTTCATTTAGTATCTGTTTGTGCATTCATAGCTACAGGTTTCCCATCTGAACATATCTATTCTAATGAAGCTTTGTCAGCAGCTCCAGTTGCAATGTGGTACAGGTTGGTACTTGCTGTCTGTGTCTAGTGCCTCAAAGAATAACAAACAATATTAAACAAACCCAAACTTCAGTGCTAATGAGCAAAACCTCCCCACTCTGCTCAGGTGTTTTACTGACATACAAAATCAGGACTAGATAATTGCCCTCAGACTCCCAGATTGCACTCAAATAGCAACTAGACACAACATGGAGTTTAGGAGAGTTTAAATTAAAAAAAATAATAATAAAATCATCATTAGTGTATTTGTCACAGTAATTTAGTAGTGCTTCCCCCATTTTTTTTAACCTGTAACAAGCAATAGAAGCAGTTTGGTCCATTGAAGGATATGGCAATCAATCAATTTCACTGGCACAGATTGTGCTTTTTAAGGCAAAACCCAGAAACTGATGAGAGCTTGCTGTCAATACCTTTCTACAGGTGAAGGAATGTCTCTTTAGCAATTGAGTTCCAGGCCAGCAGACTGTAACAACAGATGAAGTAATTCAGACCAGTTAACTTTCAAGCTTAGCTGCACTGCTACAGTCAACAGTGCATGAACACTGCCCATCTGCATGAAATTCAATTGTTCTATCAGCTTCTGCTAAGTTTTTCTTTAGAATTTATCATTTTGTGTTTTAGAGTTATGAATGATTATTAATTCTCACTTGATTAACTCTGGTTTGCTCCTATGTCTTAGTGGGATGGTATGAGACATTCACACCAGTCTGTCCAAGGATTAGGGCTTTGCAGAACAGACAGTATGCAACTGTGCACCATTGGAATGCACAAATTTAATTACAAAAATGTACAGAGTGCATCATGGTTTTGTTATTTCACAATTTTTCCATGTCTTACCTTGTAATCTTCATATTCTTTTTATATTTATCTTGTTTTAGAAGGAACATAAACACCTGCAATGATTTCTCAGTAGGTAAATTAGTAGTTGAAAATGTGTGTTTCAAGTAAATGGACTATTTCCCAGTCACTTCCACTTCAAATAAGTTTAACTCTGGCTCCTATCCTTTTGCTCTGTTTTCTGCCTAATATTAATATTTCTTTCTCTCTTTTTTTCATCCTTCTGTGGCAAAAGGGCACAGTTTAGTAATTGTTTAACTACTAAACTGTAATAAACAAATGATTTAATGACATAAGCGCTAAGCAGCAATTATTTAATTACTAGTGAGTTTTTTTCTTCACTTCTCTAAGGTTCCAAACTACTCTGGAAGCATCTCAAGGCCAAAGATATTAGTTAAAATGAATAGAATATTTTCCAGTATAAACACAGTACTCAAATCTTTAGCACTTAAGCTCACAAGGGGAGGGACACTTCACTCATTCATTTTAAAAAATACCTATGTTTGAGAGGGAATTTACACTAAATAAACTGTATTTCTGAAGGTAATTATGGCAGATAGTACAACCATACAGTTGTATTGTTGTGAGAAATATGAACTGAAAAAGTTGAGATATAGATTACATGTTTATGTCCTTTCCTATTATTTATCTTCAAAAATCACCAGAAATATTTTCATATTTTACTGAATTATCATACTTTGGTGGGAGGTTTTCTTGTATATGTTTTTTGTTTGGGTTTTTGTTTCTTTGGGTTTTGTGGTTTTTTGTTTGCTTTTGTTTTGTTTTGGGGTTTTTTGTTTGTTTTTTTTTAACTTTTCATTGGTTGGTTGGTTGGTTGGGGGCTTTTTGGTTGGTTTAGGTTTTTTTGTTATTTTTGGAGTTTTTAAATTAAGGGAATAATGGACAGAAACCCTGAAAAGAACCCCAAAATCAAACTCGGGAGCATTCTTAGTTATTGGCCAGGGTGAGACTGCACTATAGAGAAAACTGCATTAGTTTTCATTACATTATGTCACCTTTCGATTCAGAGATTTTCATATGCAAATTCTGAGGCGAGGGAAGCCGCAGCTCTCGGAGGTGCTGTGCTCCAGGGCTGTTCTCTCCAGCAACTGTGACTCCATCGCCCAGGTAAGGCCGTGTCCAGCAGCTCTGCGACATCCCACTGAAAGTATTGGGAATGTTTTACTCAATAAAGCTTTAGAAGAGTTGATAATGTATTTGACTGATATTTAACCCAGCGGATAAATGAGAACACAGGTGCCCAACGACCCTTTAGTCTGAACAGCATTTAGCGCTGCTCCAGTGACTGCAGCAGCGCGCTGTGTGCTATATCCTCCGCTGCCCGTATTCGATGTCAGCTGCGGGCACAGCTGTCCCTGGCTTTGCTCGGCCCCAGGGCTGTGGGGAGTTCCCGCTGCAGGCCTGCAGGGAAGGCCTGCCCGCCCCGCGGCTGCCCCGCGGCGGCACCGCCGGCCCGGCGAGCGGCCCTGCGCCCGCGGGCCCGCCGAGGAACCGTGCTGGGCCCGCCCGGGACCGGGGCGCGTTTTTGAAGAGCCCGTTCAGTGCTGGCAGCTGCGGGGGCAGCTGCAGCTCGAGCTGCAGGCTCAGCTCTGGGCACGCAGCAGAGCTCCGGCAAGAGCCTGTGAACTGCCGAGCCTTTGCACAGCGAAGGGCTCGGGGACCAGCGGCCCGGCCAGGTGAGGGACACACACACAGACGTGCAGGAGCCAACGACCCCAGAGCTGCATACCCTTAGATTGTGAGGGTATAAAAACTCAGGAGTTCCTCCTGAAAGGAACCATGCTTGAACTGCTATTTTGTGATTTAGTTACTAAACCACGGTTAGATTAATTTAAGGATCAGGACATCTGAGGCATTGCTACATAAAACCTGTAGCTGAGCTGGTAAGGAAATTTGGTCTGTGTCAGTGTGAGAGGTGCAGCTGTGAAGGGCTTTGGTCCCAGCTTGAGTGGTGCGAATGTGACAGCCAGAGTGGTTCCTAGGTAGTGGAGCACACAATCTTAGAATGGTTTGGGTTGGAAGGGATCTTAAAGGTCATCTAGTTCAAAACCTCCTGCTAGGAGCAGGGGACATGTAAAATGGGACCAAGTTGTAAAATGAGACCAAGATGAGACCATCCAACCTGGCCTTGAACATGTCCAGAGATGGGACAGCCACAATTTCCCTGGGCAACCCATTCCAGAGCTTCACCACCCTCACAGTAAAGGATTTTCCCCTTAATATCCAATCCAAACCAATCTTTTAATTTGAACCCATTCCACCTTGTCCTGTCACTGCATGCTCGTGGTAAACAGTTTACCTCATCCTTCCTGGAAGTTCCCTTCACTTACAGAAAGGTTGCAGTTAGGTTACTATGAAAATCTTGTATTTTCCAGGGTGAAAAAATCTCGAATCTCTAAAGCCTTTCCTCACAGGAGAGGTCTCTGTACCTCTGATCAATTTGGTGGCCTTCTCTGGACTTGGTCCAACACATCACTGCCTTTCCTGTGCTGGGACACCAGAAAGAGATGCAGTACTGGAGGTGGAGCCTCACCACAGTGGAGGGGCAGAATCCTCCCTCCCATGCTGCCCACGCTGCTTTGGATGAGGCCCAGGCCACGTTTGGCTTTCTGGGCTTTAAGTGAGGAGTGACAGCTCATGTTAACCCTTGAGTTCAACAGCACTTCCAGCACTTCCAATTCCTTCTTGTCAGGGCTGCTCTCAATCTGTTCAGTCCCCAGCCTCTGGGGACTGGCTGGTTTCCCTAACAGCATGGCAGTGGCCCTGTGTGCCCCAATAAAGCAGAGAGCAGACAGCACAAGGCTGGGTTGGTGCTGCTGGGCATGAGGCCTTGCCCACGGCAGCAGAGCAGTACCAGGGCATGAGGCCCAAAACCAGCAGCAGTTCCTGGTAGTGGGACTGTGAGGCGCAGGGCACGGTGGTGGTGAAATACAGGCTATGAGGCCCAATACATGGTGGCAGTGTAATACCAGGCTGTGAGGCCCAATACATGGCGGCGGTGTAACACCAGGCTGTGAGGTACGGGACATGGCAGAGCTGTTATGCCAGGCTGTGAGGAGCGGGACATGGCGGCGGTGTTACACCAGGCTGTGAGGCCCAATACATGGCGGCGGTGTCACACCAGGCTGTGAGGTGCGGGACATGGCAGCGGTGTTATACCAGGCTGTGAGGTGCGGGACATGGCAGCGGTGTTATGCCAGGCTGTGAGGCCCAATACATGGCGGCAGTATTATGCCAGCCTATGAGGCACGGGACATGGCAGCGGTGTTATGTCAGGCTGTGAGGCGCGGGATATGGCAGCAGGGTTATGCCAGGCTGTGAGGCCCAATACGTGTCGGCGGTGCCGTCCCGGGGTGTGAGGCCCAGCACATGGCGCCGGCCCGGCCCCGGCCCGGCCCCGCCCCGATCGCGGGCACCGCGATGTGTCCGACCCGCGGTTCCCGTCAGGCAGCGCGCGGGGCCGCGGCCGCCCCCGCCTCCCTCCCGCGTTCCCTCGGCGGCAGCGGCGGCGCTGAGGTGGCGCCGCGCCCCGGTGAGGTGAGCGAGGCGCCTCAGCCGGCGCTGCCCCATCCCCCGCCGGCCCGGGCGGCAGGGAGTGGCGGTCCCGCCGTGGCCCCTACGGACGCGCAGCGCAGCACGGTAAGGTCAGCCCGCTCCATGCCCCCGGCCCGCCCTGCCGCGCTCCCTGGGTGGCGGGAGCGGCGCTCGGCGGGGACGGACGCGGGGGGATTGTCGCCGGCGAGACCGGCGCCATCTTAGGTCGGAGCGTGGCCTGGCGTCCCCGAGCGGGGCCCCCGCGCTGTGAGGGCCCCGCGAGCCGCCCGCGGGCCGCGCTGGCACCGGATGGATCTGCCCTCGAGGGCGGCCCGGGCTGGGCTCGCTCCGCCCGTAGTTGACCGCGTGGGGCTCTCCATGGGCCCCGGGCGTTAACAGCAGCAGCGGTGCCGGCGGCGCGGCTCGGCTCGGCCTCCTTCCCGCCGGCCGCGGTTCTGCTGTGCGGGCCTCGCCTAGACCGGAGTCCCCAGCTCGAGCCGAGTGCCGGCGGTCACCCGCGCGGGGGCGGGACGCGGGGCGGTCGGGCTGGAGCGGCAGCTGCTCGGCTGCCCCCGGGACTCGGCTGCTCCCACGGCCTGGTACCGCTGCGGCTCGGCGGCGTGAGCTGCTTGGCGGGCTGGCACCGCCGATATTGCCCTTCCCTAGGCGGAGCTTGTGCCTTCTCGTGGCACAGAGGGCAGCCCCGCCGCTGCGGTTTGTGTTTGAGGGAAGTGGGTTTATACTTTGTTCTTTTACAATTTTCAGGTGCAGTTTCAGCTTGATCATTGTTTCTTTGCTTCTGAACAAATGCAGCCCTCAATTAAAACCCAGTTGTTTCCAGTCCTGGTGGACCTGTGGATTGCACACCCTTCATCAACTAATGTGGTGCAAAGTTATGTGCCTGTATGGGACTTTATCTGAGAAATACATCGCGTAGTCCATTGTATGATTTGTGTTGTAAACAAAATAACTTCTCTGGGCATTTGAAATGCAGCTATTAAAGTGGGGGAAAAAATTACTTGAGGAACAGATTATAGCCATATGAGAAGCGGCTGAGGTCACTTTCTCTGTTCAGCCTAGAGAAGGGGAGACTGAAGGGAGCCCTCAGGGCAGTCCTCATGAGGGGAAGAGGAGGACAGACCCTGATCTCTGTAGTGACCAGTGACAGGGCTCAAGGGAATGGTTTAAAGTTGTGCCAGGGGAGATTTAGGTTAGAATTTGGAAAAAGATTCTTCACCCAGAGAGTGGTTGGGCACTGGAAGAGGCTCCTCAGTGAAGTGGTTACAGCACCAAACCTTACAGTTCCAGAAGAGTTTTGTCAATGCTCACAGGCACATGGTAGGATTGTTAGGGATGTCATGTGCAGGACTAAGAGTTGGACACTGTGATCTTTGTGGGACCTTTCCAGCTTGGAATATTCTGTGATTCTATTATGAAAAGATGACAAGGCTGGTCTGAAAAATTTCTGTTTTGTGTAAATGTCCTCAGTCTTTAAGCTCACTACCGACTTCATTTTAGTTATTTTATTTTTAAGCCAATCCAAGGATATTTTGAGTATTGGAAGGCTCACTTGAGCTTAACAGTGGAACAGACAAATTCCCATTTGAAGATAATTGGATTTTCAATAACTCTTGAGTCCTACTGTGGCTGCACCTTCCATGATTTTCTATAGCGCCAATTTCTGTCCATCCTTATGGTGCTCTTCTACAGATCATTCTGCTGTTTTCATTACAGCTGTTAGACTCTTGATACATTTACTTGTTAGATCATTTTTTGTTGTTTCTATGCGAGTGCTTTTAAATCCTAACTTTAGAAAAAGAGGTTATAAATACAAATTACTTTTAATAAAGTTAGGTATTTTTAATAACTAACTGCCATAATAAAGATGGCTGAAATAGTGCTTTTAAAACAGTTACTTCATCAGAAGCTTATTGCTGTTTACAGCAATGAGCTCTCATTTTGTGATCTGTCCTGTATCGGGTTTTTAGTTCATTGTGTTTCTAGTAACTATAATAGTGTTCCAGGAACTTGTGTTTTTGCAGGTTGTTGAATATTTGTACCTGCCTAATGAACTTCCATGGTTGTGCTTAGTTTTAGATGGGCAGTTGCTTTTTAAAGCAGTATCTTGATATAGTCTATAATGTTATTTTTAAAGTGTTTTGAAGAACTTGTTCACGATTTTGATGCTTTACTTTACAATAGTGGTTTCAACACTTTCTTTGGGTCTATGCATATAGTATGGCATTGGATTTTGGACCTCTCAGTTCCATGGACTACCTTTAAGGAATTGTGTGTATAAACATGAATACATGCTTATGCACATTAAAAAATGAGGAAGACCAAGTCAGTTGTCAGTTGGTTTACTTTTCTTACACTGGTATCTACACCACCACTAGGAAATATTTGAGCAGAGTGGGGGAAGGATTCACTGTTGGTTTTGTCTTTGAGAGCACTGCTAGATGGGATTCCTAGAATACATTTTGTGTGTTAATGTAGGAAGCTATTTGTACTCTAAAAATGGATGTAGGTGTTTCCTTTGGCAATGGAGACCACTTGCAGGAGCTGTTCCTGTGCATCTCCTCTAAACCAATCAATTACCCCTTACTGCAATTTTGATTGTTCAGGTTACAAATTTTTGACCTTTTAGTTGTGCTGTTAAAACTGTTACTAGGCCAGGTTATTTTTAACCTGCCCTGCTTCACACCATAGCTATGTGCAAAGTTGGGCTGGCACAACTGCAGATGCAGTGCAGGAACTCATTAGGCCAACTTTCTTCTCAGGTAAAAAGAAGTAATTGAAAGCTTGGCTTCAAATTATGACATTGTAATTTAAAAAAAGTTAAAAGATGTAAAATGAATCATGGGACTTGCCTTTTAGAAGATGCTCTGCATTTTGAGTCACCTTAAGACTATCTTAATGTATATATCATGATGCATAAAATGAAATATTTGTATCACCAGTTGGTGTCACTTTCTAAAAGCCCATGGCTATGTTATCAAATTTCTTTTAACTGTATTGGAGAAAAAAATCAGCTGTGTTATAATGTAGGTGAGGTTATCATATGTATCTTGTTAGGATTCTGCTAACATATCATTGCTTGTGCCTGTTTTGTGTTTTTAGTATAAATTGCATTGCATCCTCTGAGCACATTTTATAATTTATTCCCTTTTTCCTCTGAGGTCAAGTAAAACTAAATTCTTAAAATAAAAGTACTGCTCATATGTGTTGTCTGTTCTATAGAAGTCTCTGAAATAGTAATTTATTTTGCTTAAAGTCTCTGTGTTACTTAAAAACAAAAAAAAGTGTTCTAAAGAATATCCTACAGAGAAGAAAAATTTAAAGAGTTAGGCTTGATTCTCTTTCCAAGACCTGGCATGTGGCCTGTGTTGTCTCTGTCAAGTGGAAATTCACTTCAGAATCTACCTCTTTCCCCCATACAATAATTTAGTTTAGTGTCCTGTTCTCTTCTTTCCTAGCACCATGTCTGACTTCAGTACCTGAAGCTGATGAGGAAGCAAAGGAGGAGTTCAGCTTTGTGTAGTGAGTCTAGTGCTGGCCAGACACGTAATACCCATCATCAACAGAGCAGGCAGGAGGGGATGCAAGCATCATAAAGTCACCTAGGGTATTTTGCTCCTTTATTTAATCTCAACTCTTAACAAGTGGTAACACCAGCAGCCCCATTCTCGTACAGGTAGAGGATGATTGCTCCCCTGTGATAAGCTGTGACAGAGTAATTATTTTTGCAGTCTTATTATATTATTGGTACTCCATGTAAAGAAATAGCAAAATTTCTTATTTATTTTTTTGTTCAGAAATACATTCAAGGTTATGTTAAAGAATGTTAAAAGAAGAAAACTTTATTGGCCATCTCTGTTTATTTAAAAAAAAAAATCAATTGTGATAAGACATGCCACTGTAAATTTGGTTAATTCCAAAAGGTACATATTTTTCATGACTAGTTTTGTACATGACTTCTTTTCATGCAAGAAAACATCTACAGGCATGAGGGACTCCATCTAATGGGGTCTATGCAAAATTTTTTTCTTGTCTTAATTGGTAATGGTAAGAATATGCAATGCATTGTAGGTATGGCTTGAGAATTTTGCTGTTGTGGAGTTCTTTTGTTTGACGTGTTTTTTGTGGGTGGTTTGCTTGTTCTTGTTAATGTTGTTTTGTGGGTTTTTGGGAATTTTGTGTAGGGTTTGTTGGGGTTTAAAGAAAATGTGACCTTATGGGAAGCCTTGTCAAAATCTTAGAAAAACTGGGAGGCTGTGGGTTTGAGTGGGATTTTGTTTTGGGTTTTTTAAGATGCAAAGACAATAAAGCTGTAATCGATGTTTCACTAACTCAGTTACGTGCTTTGTAGAAGGCCCTTCACTTGTGAATCACTTACCTGGAATAGGAGTATTTTTTGAAAGATACCTTTGACTGTGCTGTCAGAGGCTTTCTCTGATAGTTACTGCTGTTTTATACTAAAAAGCTTAAATTCTGTGGAGGATATCTTTGGTCTTTTCAATAGCAATGAGCATCCAAGTAATTGTGAGAATGGTAATGTGGCGTCAGTCTTTGAAGACCTCCTATGTCAGATCATGGTCAATCTGTAAAGAACATGGAGGGAGGGAGACTGTTCTATGGGAATTATTGACAACTGCAATATTCCTTATTGAACATTGACATATTTCATGAAAGTACTGAATGTTTTGGTATATGTGTTTGTTTTTTTTTTTTTTACTGTCTAGTCTCAAGATGGCAGAATTATTTATGGAATGTGAAGAAGAGGAGCTAGAACCCTGGCAACAGCGAGTGAGAGAAGTGGAAGAGGATGATGAGGACGATGACGATGAGCCAATCTTTGTTGGGGAAATCTCCAGCTCAAAGCCAGCTACTACATGTAAGACAACACTTTTCCATAATTTAAAACAGATCTTTCGAGGTATAGAAAGTTAAACTTAGTTTGGAAGTATAGACTTCTTAATAGTATGACTTAAGACATTCCATACCTTAAAGCTGTATGTCTTACTGAAAATCAGAATTCTTAAGAAATTCTGTCTTAAATCCCAGGTTATGCACAGCTCTAGTTACTTCTAACCTTAAATCTGTGAGGTCAAAATAAGGACATTTGAAGGTTTTAGCATTAGCAACAGAGTTTAAAAGCCAGTATATACAATGTTGAAATCATGCATGTAATACTTAGAGTATAGTTAAAATTTAGTTATATATTTGGGAGTGTCTCGCTCCTAAAATAATGTGCATGGATTTAAGTCTTCCTGTTAATGCACTTTTTTTTTATCCACCCCTCATTCCACATGTTGGTGAACATCATTCTGACAAAACCAAGGTAACTGTCTTCAGTGTCTATAATAAAAGCACAATCTGGAAAGTGACTAATATGAAAATACTGAAAGCCTGTCTGTGAAGTACAAGATTTTTATTGATAAATTTACCCATCCTTTGTGAAATAGAGTTTTTTCATCAAGTTCCCTAGTTTTCTTCTAAATGCAGGCAGTGTAGGGAGTGAGGTTAGGTGGTTGTGATGATAGGAGATGTGTCATGTTTGTCCTATGCTTGGGTTTTGGCAGGTAAGTAAAGAAGGCAATTTTTTCTTGTTATTTTAATTAACTTTAGTAATTAAAGGGGTTTTTTTGCCTATCTGTCTTGTAGTCAGTTTTTAAGAGCTGTGACCTAAGGTCTCCCCAGCAGTCACATACCCAAGACTTTGGTGAGGCTTACTCCTCACAGTTTCTGCCTCATCTCTGCTAATGCTTGTATCCAAGATTTCCATAGTAGCTTTCTGGAGGTGTATATTTGCAGTAAAGGATCTCAAGGCAAAATGTTACACGAGGCTGTTTGTCACAATCTGCTGCGTGGATTTCAGAGCTGTTATTAGCTGTTCAGTCATTTTAGGTCATAATACTTTCATCTTGCATCTATTACTTTTTTGCTCATTAGGATAGCAAGTTTAAGGTTTCTTACACAAAGTTAAAAAAATGAAAAAAATATTTTAAATATGAGATGAATACAGAATCTGATATTTAAGTACTCTCACCAGAAAATATTCTTTTAAAAGTGAATATTTAAAAAATACTCTGAAAATTTGAAGAATATTTTTTAAATATTCTTAAGTTTTCTGCAGTTACAAGCATATAGAATGTTTGAAAAATACCCTGTTTTCTGGATGGTCCAGAGACCTCTGGATTGCTGTTGGTCATTGGCAGTAGGTCATGGCATACAACAACTATTAAGGCACTAGCATGTGTTGGAACAATAAACATGCCAAGTTTGATTGCAGTTTTTGTAGCCTTCAAGTTGTTTTTTTTTTTTGTAGTGAAAGAATAGAAATAATTCAGGTGAAAAATTTGGTATGATTCTGTAAACTTCAAGAACTTTGGTAAAAGATGGAGACTTAAACAGTTTGCTTCTTATTCTAGTGCTGTCCATACTCGGTCCTGACACAAGTGAAATCACTTATGGTATAACTTGTTACTTTATCTTTTTTCCTTCCCTTTCCTCAACTTTTCTGTTTTTAATCTTCTACTTCACTATCAAAACAGCTATGGAAGAATGACCTCAGTTCTTCTCTGGCTTGTAAGTAGTACTACCTGGCACTAGTCAGGCTTCAGTTTGTTATTGGTGATAGGCAAGATATCGTGAGCTCAGCTTTGCTTATCACTGTTTAGTTTGCACCTGATCAGATGGAAAATTGATGACAAATAGAAACTCACATATAGGTCTTAATTTTCCTGAAAGGTGTAGTTTCTACAACACATTGTATTTTCTTGGCCTTTTCCTGACATTACAGTTACTAGTTTTTGTACAGACTGTGTGAAAAATTTGAAGGAAATAGTAAAAAGCCCAATTTTGACCTGCTGTCAGAGAGCTGTGTAGTATGACATGTCCCTTCTGATCTGCTGGAGGATTGTTTTGGCTGAGATGAAAAGTAGTTCACATTTTGTTCCCTTTACCTTTTTCTGCTACTGCTCATTTTTCCTGCAGTTACCGCTTGTTGTTCTTGCTTCCTGTTTCACAACGATACAAACCTGTAGTTTGTTACTGTTTTAAAATGTTACTCTGCATGTCAGCATGCTCTTGCTTCAGTTCTGTTTTACCTAAACTTAGATGGAAGTGGGGAAAGTGCACATCAAGTCTATGATGAATCAGTGGAGTCATGTAAATGTAGTTTATAATTTCAATTAACTGGCTTTCTGAAATGTACGTTCAAAAAGCAATAAAATCTACCTTTGTAATTTAGAATGTGTGCACATCAGATGTCTTGACTATGCTTTGTAAGACATAACTTCTATAAAAGTTTTTCTTTTGTAGATAGATGGTGCTTTAGTTTAATTTCACTCTGGAATTCATGGATGAGGTATAGATTTGTTAACATTCACAAAAAGTATATATTCAGGTAAATACCAAAACAATTTAATCCTGGTTTGTAGTTATCGTTATGCTGAAGTAAAAATAGTATTACTATTATAGGACCAAATTTTGTCATATCTTAAAAAATGCAAACCTGTTTGACTATGTTGGTTGCAGTTGCTTTTTTATTAGGTGGCAAGTTGAAAGCTGTAGTGTTCTGAGCTCTACTAGTATTAGATATATTTATCAACTGGTGAAGTGTATACTAATGAGCTACTGCTGGTAGAAATAGCCTTAAGGTTGTTAAACACAAAGTATAGGTACTCTGAGAGCTATTGTTTAAGGACCTGATGTCATTTGACCCTAGTTTGAGAAGTTACTTCAAGCCTTGCAGGTTAGATATTAGAGAATCAATTTAATTTTGTATGCATATTTTCACAGGTCAGTGAAAGCAACTTGTCAGCATCACTAATGGAACTGAGAATCTGGGAGTAGAAGAGTATTTTGATTTGATGAATATTTTTTCAAACTTCCTGATATTATCAGAAATCCCAGACTAAGACATAAAAGGTTGGGGAATGAGAGTGGCATTAGTTAGGGAGTAAATGTAATTTAAGAAATTGCATGTGATCCTGCTGAGCTAGATACAGACTACCGTGTAGGATACATAAGAAAATCAGTGCTTTTGTAATGCAATTCTAATACAACTCCTTTGGTTGCTGATCTGTTGATTTTCCTTTCACATTGGAAAATGGATATCATGAAGTCTAAAATCCAGTTTGTAAGTGCTGTGTTTTGGTAATACAGAAGCAAATGATGTCATTACTGGTTTAGGGAAAATGCTTCCTTTAAGGTAGGGCAGTTCTAGTATTTGCGGAACATTATATATATGTGAGAAAGAGATGTAAGTGAATGCAGTATAATCAGCAAATTGAAATGCTAATGCCATGTCCTTTTTTTGTTGTTTGTATTCTTCCTTTGTGTTAACCTGTCTCCAAGAGAATAAACTTTGAGATTCTTAAGTGAACTAACTTAACCAAAGAGGAATGGAAGAACATATCCTAATTTGTACAAATGACACTTGGTTTTGCAAGGTTTTTGTTTTAGAAATAATATTTTAATTTATAAGCCAAATCCTAATTGGCATAATTAGTGCATATAAATGCAGCTTTTAAATTTCAAAAGCAATGATGCTATTAATTTATTTGCGATTAAGATAAATGTAACTTTTGACAGATATATTGAACAGAGTCAACCTCAGCTCACCACGAAGGGGGATACAGAATGGTGCACCCAGTAGAGGTACTTTATTGTCCTAATATGGTAATTACAAAAAAAAAAAAAAATCCACAACACTTATGAAACATTTGACTGCAAAATTACATAAAGATAACTTTGGAATCCTTTGCAACAGGTACAGTCACTACGTTCAAGTCTGAGAGTCAGCATTATGTGACGCCTGCCTCCAGCCCCGGTGCCATGCCTGCCCCATCAGTCTTTCAGACTGTGCCCAGACCTGCGAGCAGCTCGGTGGCAGTTCAGCCTTTGGCTGTCACAGTGAATGTTTCAGGAACTTCACAAACACTGCAGAGACCAATTGCTGGATGTTTGTCGATGCAGCAGGTGCCTGGGTCAAGTTCTGGAATAGCACAGCCTGTTAGCAGACCTGTAACCATTCCAGTGACAACACAGCCAGTATCAAGAAATATCACAGTTCCTGTAGTGGCTCAACCTGTATCCAGGCCAGAGACTCCTGCAACAGCACAGCCTGTAATACTCAACCAGGTAAATCTTTATTCATTTACAACATAAAAGGTATGATTACTTTTGAATAAATTAATGAAAAACATACTGACTCAGTCTAGTGCTTTAAAGATCTGAACTAGATTATAAACTAGCATTATGTAAGCTGTAAACATTCTAGGACCATAACCTTGCACTGGTAAATTAAAATATATATTTGGAAATACTGATTAGGAAGATGCAAAGGTGATGGCTTTAGTAAGAGTAAAATGGCATTAAATGAAAATCCTAGACACTAGAGAAATGAGTACTGTTTAGATTCTTTATGTTCCATAGAGAAATGTTGCAAATTCATTCTCTAAATCTTTCAGATTTCTGTGCTCAGAGATTAATCTTCTGCATAGATAATTTAATTTTTAAATAGCTTGCATTTAGTGTGTAAGGCAACTTTCTGGGTTTTCCACCTGTTTTTGCAGTAGTAGTAGTAGTAGTAGCTCCTTAGTGGGTTTTGCTTTTTCATTCATGTGGCACATCAATGAAAGCAATGTGGAACAATAGTATGATAAGAGGTTTAAGCAACCAAAAGTTGAATGATAGCAGGTGAAGCAGTTTGGTAACATACTTGTTTTGCTTGAAAAGCCTAAGGGAATTGTGCACAAAGGTGATGTGTCGTGGACCTTCCTGGGTTGCCACATAACCCCAAAATGTTGCCATGAGGGAGTTGCGTTAGATGCTGGTTTGTTGCCTTATCTGTTGGACGTATGTGAGAGAGAATGAGGATTAAAATTCCATATTTGTATGAGGCAAACTATGATACAATACCTTCATTGAAAGTAATTCACGCTGAAACTGTTCAGACCATGTACCTATAGTATTAGCTACTACTGTCAGGTCAAAATAAAGCTTGACAGTATGAACCATCCCATTGTCCCTGCAAATACACACACCTGAGGTTGTTTCAGTTGTTAGTCTTTTGGTGTAAATAAAAATCATGCAGCCTAATGGATTCTGCATTTACTGAGCAGAGCAAGCAGACTGAATTAACAGAGTTAATTAGGCCATTAAAACATGAGGATTAAAATTGGGTGTTCTTAAGACTTGTGGTTAAATAATTGCTGATGTGATGCTGCATTTTAAGAAAAACAGAACTAAAACAAAGCAATTTAATTATTGCCTATCAACTGGCTAGCTGAATCTTTGGCAAATTCAGCAGGAAAAATACTCATACTTTACAATTTTGAGTCTTCAGCAACTGATTGATAGTTTGCAGAGAGAAATTGTGGGTGTGTCTGGTGAAGCAGGTTAGCTAAATAAGTCTGTCACTGTTAAGAAAGCCTAAGAAATTATATAATTAGAAGTCCAGATATCAGTAGGATATCCAGGTTGCTTCTTTAGTCATCTTAAATCTTTCTTTATTAAGCAGGACAGATTAGTACAGAAAGGTTTGGAACTTTACGTGATGTACACACATATTACAAGTCTATGAAGTTTTTTATAAGTTTGCTGATGACATAGTATGCATTATTAAATCCTCTAAAGGTGTCCTAGTATGTCCTGCAGAATCTTTACTGTAGAAGAAAGTCCTCTCCTTTACTTCCCTCACACACACGCTCATGTTTTTGTTGCAGACAAAGCTGGTAGGGGCTTCTACAGTGTTGTTATGACAACCCCAGAGTAAACAGAGCCAGGAAAGCTGAACTTTTCTACGGATTATATATAGCTGGATGTAGCTCATCAATACAGTGATTTCCTTTAAAGAAAGCCTGCGGAGTGTACTTCTTTTCGTGAGACTTCTTTCTCATTCACTGAATTTATGTTACAGATGAGGCTTTACTTAAGTATTTGTAGGGCTACTTTGTCAAAATCTGCAGGTTGTTTTTCCGTGGCAGAGTAGAGAAACAGCTGTTTGAAGAAGTTGCAGCCATAGGACATGGAAGAAGTTCTCTAACCATGTATAAATCATTTCTGTCTATTCCACGTTAGACTGACATGCTTTAGAAAGTAATGCATCCTTATCTGGGAGATCCAGTACAGATTATGTGGTCTCTTAAAACTTCTGCTGTTTGTTGAAGTTATGGTCTTAGACACTTTCTTTACAGTGTTAACATTTTGATCATGGTTTTCATGAGCCCTTAATTTTTTTAAGGTGTCTTAAATGTATCATCCTGTTCTTTGGATGTTAAGACATTCTTGAGTACCTTGAAGAGTTTTCTGTTTGCATTTTTTTTCCTTGCTTAAAACATGGTGAATCTTCCATGTCTTCAGCTTAACTCTTCTAGATTCAGAACTGTGTACTATTTACTTTTTAAGGTTATATGTACTAAAGGGCAGACCTTTTAAACTGAAGGGTAAAAGAATACCTGTACTTGGACATGCACAAAACTTAATTTAACAAGGTGCTGGGAAACGTGAACCAGGTTAGCTGGACTTTGAAAAGAGGGTTTGATTATATTATTTTCAGAAATTCTTCTGAAGTTACTGTACATAAAAGAAAAAAACCCTTGATGATATCAGGAATTAGAGCCCTTGCTAGTCAAGATGCTGTAGATACCCCTTACTCCATTAAAGCTTGAGCACTTAGTAGAATGTGACCTTAATACCATCTTGCTTTGAGGAGCTTCTACTTGTTTCAAGTTCGTGCTACTTTTGAGTTCTGGTTTTTGATCTTTTGAAATGCAGCAAGATGTTATGTAGGAGTAACAGGCAAATGTCTGAGTTTAGGTTGAAGGAAGACTGTATTTGTTTTTTTTTTTTGAAAAACAATCAAATATAATTTGAAACATTATCAGACTATTTGGAACAAAAGCAATTGCTTTACAATGAGCAATTCAAACAAATTAGTGATGTTTCATTAAATGGTCTTTCCCAGGTCTTACAATTATTTTTACTATTCTGAATACACAGTTGTAAAAACTAACAAGCACTGTTAGAATTGCAACTTTATTAAAATATCAAAAGAAACTGTTTTGGGGAGATTGTAATGAACTTGATTTTCTTCTGAGTACTTTTAAGAAATCATATGTTTGTAAACCCTTTGAAGCATGCAATTAAAAAATATTAAACATCAAATTTCTTTTCCCTCTTGAAAATATCTTATTAGGATTATATTATGGATTCTCTACCAGATGCACCAGATAATACATCTGGTATACTGTTTGGTGTGAGACAGAACTCGGGAGTTCCACAGTACCAGACTGGGCCAGCAGTGAATGTAACAGGTGAGTATAACTGTAGTAGTTGATAAGAGAAACAACCAACCAACCTAATGTCCTGTAACTCTAGAGCAGATCTATGGGTTTTAATTTTAAATAGGATTTCTATAATATAGTATAGCTACTTTTCTCTTCCCCCTGTACATAACACTGTATAATGTTTAATGAAATAAACTCTGGGGTCTTGTGTTGTCAGACTTTGCTTTTCAGTGCATTAGACTGAATATAAAATCAGCTGATGTCTTCTTATAATGCTCATTTAGATGGGAAAAAGCATTGCCAGATCCAGTGTATCTTTATTGACAGGTAAAGGTTTGTTTTCAGTATACTCATCACTCTTTGGCCCGTCGGAATAGGAAAAGACTGTTAGCAAAAGAGGGGCTGTGAACAGTACCTGAAAAACTGAGTCTGCTGAACGGATTCCCTGTAATGATGATCTTGGTTTTCTGGCAGCTATATGCAGGAGATGATCATTCCTGAAAAGGTGGGGAGGGAGAGAGTATGTAATTTGACAACAAAACCTTTTTTTTTCAACTAGCTTTTCAGCAGTAGATTTTTAATCTGTTTAAAAAGAAGCCAAAAAGCACCTTTTTTGTGAGTGTGTGTCACAGCAGATGAAGTAGATTTTAAGCATGCAGTGTATTCAGTCTTAAGAAGGCTACAACTTGGGACTTCCCTCCTCCTTTTTGAAGGATTGTACTTTTGTAATAACTGACCAGAATCCCATTTTTCTGTCTCTAAGTTATGGATGACAATGACTTCTGATTCTTCCCTGCACTTCTTAAGTGCAGTGAATGGCCTGACTGGTCATATTAAGAAGTTACATAGGACAGAGGGATAGTTAGTATGCTCAGCTTCATGTGATGATTTTGCATTTTTAGTTTAGGTATTCACTCCGTGAACAGTTAGCAGTGTATTTTTTTGCTTGTGTCCAGCCATTCTGTTGGTGTCTCGGGTTAAATAGTTTTTTGTCAAGTAAGAAATGGTTTGTTTTTTGCAAATGGTTCAATATTCAAGCCCTTCTTCTCCAAAGGACAGGTATTAAAGTTTAATTGTTTGTGGGTTTGGTTCAAAAAACTTGCTTGTATACTTGTGTTAGTCTCTTACTGAGAAGAAAATAAAATGCTTAAGAGCACTGAAAGTTGCAATTCAAAGCATTTAAAATGTGCCATACTTAGTCTGTGTTTATTTCTGTAAGATGGCAATAGGATTTGAAAGTTAAAAAAGAAGTTTTATTATTGTGGCTTGAAACACCAATATTTTTGACACAGAAGGCAAATTTAAGATACATTTCACTTTGCAGAAAGGAAGTGCCTGTGTATTGTGTGGTTTGGCTTGCTTGGTGAGGCCATGTAATGAGATTGAATTCACGTTCATGTATGCAAAGCATACTTGCTTGTGTCAGTGCTATGCTTCCCTAATTCAAATACAGCACTGTGAGCACAAGACATTCTGGAATACGTATTTAAAAGCAGAATCCTTTTGGGAACGGCCTTTGATGCTCTGCAGGACAGTATAACTTATGCACATCGATCACAAGAAACATTTTTTAGTTCAGTGTAGCATAAATATTTCTTTCTGAGGATTAAGCAGGGAAATGGCAAGTTGCTAATTGACACTAACCAAGCATCTTCTTAGGCTGTTAAAATAGGTGGTGGTGTTTGTGTAAATGGCATTGGTAACTCTTCCATGCAGGTCGGATGGCACTGGGGATGTGTGTAAAACGTAGCTTGCTTTCTGAGAGTACTGTGAGAACACTGTCCCCCAAACTTCACCCATTTGGAGGAACGAGAAATTGCTGTGACTAAAAGACCTGTTGTGTGGAGTTGACTGGACTGCATCCATATAGCTCCAGATTAAAGGGAGGTGTTGGTGCAGGACAGTGCACTAAGAGGCCTGAAGCGATTTGGCTTTCATGTGCCTATTCTGGTATCACAGTACATTTGGTGCTTCCATTCTAGGTTACTATTTCTGATGTCTTTTTCCATCATGTATAAAATCAGTCCCAGCCAGCACAGTGCACAGAGCAGCATTAAGGTTTTTACAGTGGTGTTCTGGGTTCAGAAACCTGTCAGCAAGGTGGTGCTGCAGGCAGTATACTTTGCTCCTTCTTTGCCATCATGGATGTGGTACACAGGAATATTGTGTATATGAGCACAGCCAGCTCTTGGGTAATAGCTGCAGAAGTGTTCACTAATAGCACAAAGTGACTAAAAAATAATTATTTGGCTATTGCTTTTCCCTGCTGTCCTGAGTACCTGGAGTTTCTGTGACCTGCTGTGTAGAGAATTGAGCAAACTAGCCTGAAATGTGGTTAATTCATGTCCACATTCCAGCTGAGAGAGGCACTTTCATGATAAGAGATGTCAATCTGATTTATACCAGCAAGATATTAAATAATACTTGCTGTTGGTTTGATTAGTTTTCGAAACAGGCCTAATTATTTTTTACGTGAACAGCAGAACTAAAACACAAACCTGTGTATTACTATAGTTCTTCTGAAAGAGAATTTACTAGTCAGAGTTGGTTAGACTATAACTACTCACCTTTATAAATGTCTTCAAAATTGTTATCACAATGTGTTAAGCTTTTAAAATTGGATTTATGAACACTATTTTTAACATACGAGAATAGTCCTTGTTTCCAAATAGGGTTTTCTGCAGTCAAATAAAATACTTCTGCTACTGAAGACCATTGTAAACTCAGTCAGACCTTGTGTCTTTTCCCCATCCCTCATTGCAGAGCTACACATAGTTTTAATACACAGCAGCAGCAGTTCCTGCTGTAGGTTGATGGCTAGAGGCTCAGATAGCCTCAAGTGATACTGAGGAATGCTAAGGTCACACCAGCTGTATGGAAGCCTTTGCTGAACACCACATACGTCTGTGTAAGCAGCTCATGTACTGAACATGGTGAGTGTAGGTAAGTTAAACCCCCCTAGGAAGTAATAGCATCTAATTAATAACCTGATCATTTTGTGAATGTGTGAATGAATGAACCTTAGGTAAACAATGCATAGAGTGAGACATTTAAGCTTGATATGTTTATGTCAAAAAGAAGGAAATGTGTACTACAAAGGAGAATGTTAGGATGTTTAGGTACCTATATATCTATAATGTAAGTGAATTACATTTTCTCATGTTTGAGGCACAGTGTGGCAAATTCTCCAAGGCGTTAATCAGGATTCCCTGCTTAACATAGGGAGTCTTCCTATGTGCATTGAATAGGGAAAGTCTCCAGACTATTGGCCAAGTTTAGATAGTTTCCACTGAGTGAACACAGCTATGGGTGCCAGAGGGCTATTTTGTTTCTTCTCAGAAGTTTGAATAATTTGGTGTGACACAAAGTATCTCTGCTTGATGAGCTTCTTGTTACACCCTGAGATATTGTTGGAGCAGCTATGTCATTGTAGTGGGGGGAATAGACCAGAATGTCCTTAGCTTAGAGCATTCTGTCTAGAACTGAGGCCTTTGACATATTTTATTACAGTCTTAAGACTATTTGCAGTCTGTCATTGTGAGAGGTTTACAAGACCTGTGCTGGTGCTTCAGACTTCTTGGTTTGTAACTGTGTCTTTCATGTTTACTTGAGGTCTGATCTCTGTATTGACTTCATATAATCAGGGGTAATCTTACAATGACAGAGACGTGGGTTTCTGACAAGATGGAACTGAGTATTTATGGGCGTGTTCATCAGCCACTCAACCTCCCAGTTTCAAAGTTGTTGGTGGATTTTTTTTTTGTTGTGGGGTGTTGTTGTTTTTTGTGGGGTTTTGGTTTAGTTTCTTGTGGTTTTGTTAAGTTTTGTTGTTGGTGAGTTTTGTTTGGTTTTTTGTTTGTTTTTACTGATTTTTTTCAGAAGAAATACTGCAAACCATAAGGACATGTAATGTTCTTTCAGAAGAGAGCAGATAGATGTGCTGTGGTTGGTCATTAGAAGTTACAACACTTTTTTCATTTTGCATACAAACTGAAGTTTACAGAGTTATATAAGAAACTAAAACAGCAGAAACGCAGAACCAGAGAAGAAGGAGAGGTGCTTTCCATCAGAAGCACAAAGCTTGTTCCAGATAGTGGAAATTGCAGCTGCTTTGCTTAACTTTATTACTGTGAACTCACCTTGTCTCAGATAAGAGTGGGTCAAGATGTGAAAAGTAGGTCAAATGAATTCAGGTAGCCACAGTATGATTTACTGGGGTTTCGCAGGTGGGTCTGTATCTCTTGCATTTACCCTTTCCTGCTTCACTGGGCTGGGCCTTCAGTCTGAGTTGGATATTTTCTTGACTTCAGTATAGCATATTAGCTTAGGAAAATCTATAAACTGCTTTGTATGGACTCTAAATTGCATCATAATGTGTTCTAATTACTATGGGAAGAAAATGAGGTTCTTTAAATTAAAGTACTGAAGGTCTAAATGAGAGTGGTTTTGTATCTAAACCTTCTGCTGCTTCTGAAGGCAACAGTGTAACTCCAAAACAGACCAGGCTTATGATGCTAGAAGCAACTTGGCTGTTTCACCTACAGGTAACTGTCCAACAGTTGCACAGTCACAAAATGGATCTTCAAATGGTAGGAAGATGGAATGGATTAGCTGGCAGTCCTGCCTCTGTGTCATGGAAAAAGCTAACACATCTGCAGTGTTTCAGTGGTCAGTGTTTTTAATGCTCTTAAGGCAGTGTAAGCAAGTAACTGTTCTTATGCTGTAAAATAAAAATAGATATCCTATGGAAGGATTTATGTACCTTTGCAAATTAATTTACCTGAGGTTATTACCTATTCAAATTTTAGACATTTATTGTTTAGTAGGTAGGTTTGAATTTTGTAGAGCAGTAATAAGTAATTTGAAGACAGATGATAAAAATAAATGCCCCTGACCTCATTCTCTTAGTTCAGATTTTCTATGTCAAAGATGAGAGTAGGGGGTTGAAACTCCGAAACACAGCCAGCCAGAAAATCAAGATTGAAAGAATTCTTGACTTAATTCTATGACTGCTGAATTTATGAACTAATTCTGATTAGATGAAGGAAAAAAATCATTTTAGCAATGCCAGGCAAGGTAGTAACAAATTAGATTGTGGAATCTCCATCCTTGGAGATACTCAGAAGTTGACTGGACTCTTACACTCTGAGCACAAGATTAGACTTGCTTTGACTGGGGAGTTGCAGGAAACCACCTCCAAAGGTACAACCTAAATTATTTTATGATTCTGTACTTTAACTAATTATTGAAAGTGCACTTTGGAGTTTTCCCCCTTTTTATTTTTCAGCAGTGTTTCTGATATAGTTTGAAATAGTAGTGGGAGGGGAGAAGTTCTATTTCAAAGAAACAATGTTATTGGAAAGATTTTTCCTTCCCTGCAAGAAGAGAGCTAGTCTGGCTGTTTCAGAGTATTAACTATTAGGTGCATTTTTGTCGTGAGCCCAAAAGTGCTTTCTAGTGATTGCAATAGGCCAGGATTTATTCTTGACTTCTGAGACATTTCCAAGACATCTTCTGTCATATAATGTTAAAATGGTTATTTGGAATAATTTCAGATGTGGGTTTTTTGCATTTTTTATTTAGAGCTCGTTGCTCTTTCCAGCTACCAGAAGGACCTGGCTATAACATGAACATTTCAGCAAAAAAATTGCCTCCACCCTCTTTTGGGTGAAATAGATATTGTGCTGCAGCCTATAGTAAAAAAAGATAACTGAATGATCCTGCTAAATCCAGTAAAAAAAGATGTAGATCATATTCACTGAGAACCTTATTTTGCTGAGTTTGTCTCTAAGCCATCCCATGCTGGCATAGCAATTTCTAATCTGTCACAGAATCCAGCAGTGAAGCACACAAGGTTTTTCTGCAGAACTGGTTTTCTTCAACTCTGTTTGCACTTAGCTGTGATGTGTCAAAATGTTTTTTCCAACTGTAATAGTGACGACTTGCAGTGCTGTTTTGTAGTACATCTTTTACATGACCATCCACTCATGTGAAGAACTTTCTGCTTAAGAATGATTCTTAGCAAAACGGTTATCTTCAGGGAAATTCCAGGTTATTTATGGTCTAAGCAGGACTATTTTTATGTAAAAATGTATAACACCCATTGCATGGTCATCTCTGAACTCATACACTTACTAATTCCCTTATATTTATGTTTTTGTTTTTATTACATCTTTTCATAGTCCTCACAGGGAACAGTTGCCTCTTACTGTCAAGATGTTATTTCCTGTGTTTAACTTCTAAACTACTTACTTAGTATGCAGTCCTCCAAATCTGTGAATGACTTGAGAATGCATGAGAATTTCATCTGGAAAAGTAGCTCCTGCTCTGATGTTTTTTGACAGTTTGGAGAAAACTCAAGGCTTAGTTTATTCATTAAAGGTTAAACTAATGCAAAGCTTTAATAACTCTTTTGCTCAAAAAGGTATTAATAATTTATGTTGATAAGAGAAGCATTATTTCCTTTAATTACTGGGAGTAATTATTAATTTAGAGGATTTATTCTCTAGGTTCTCCAAAGACATCTTTGCTTAACAGAAATAATGCATTTGAATAAGCCAAGATTCCAACAAATACCCAGTGAGAAATGGCCTCATAATTGAGAACCAAATGGTGAAATTCCTTTCCAAAACCAGTTATCTGAACCATATTGTGATGATGATCAGGTTGTGGCAAAAAACAGGCTTTGCATATTCATTTGAAAAGTTTGTGAAACAAAAACATCAAAAATCCATCCTATCCAGGATGGGGTGGGCTGGTAGTGCACCGAAGAAATGCTTTCTTCCTATCATGTTCCTCATGTGTTTTTCCTTAGTGGTAAGATTTTATTAAATCTGTTTATCAGTCTATGTCAAACAGAGCTCCAAGTCAGTTTGGGAAAAAGGAAGAATAGTTAAAAGATGCTTGTAAAGCCTGCTTATGGTTACTACAGCTTTATTGATGGTTATAGTTTTTATTTGAAACAGCATATTTTACTTGAATACTACCACTAAATTGAGTATTCTGTTTGTGAATTCTGAGTCTTTATGTTTTCTAAATTTTACAGGGACAAATGCTGCATCCAGCACCATTAAAAATGGAGGACCTTTTCCACGAGCTTGTCCAAAATGTAATATACATTTCAATCTTATGGATCCTCTGAAAAATCATATGAAGGTAAAATATTTTGGGGCTGGTAAGCATTAGAGCAAACTTTGTGGGCTTCTCTCTGCTATCAACCAGAGCTGAATGCTCAAAGTTGTGCAGTCATGGAGAGCAAGAGAGGAGCAGGGGAGCTCTAAATCTTGCTACTTTTTGGCTCATGTTTCCAATCTGCTGAAAGTGTCTATGAGAATAGGCAGCCAGGTGACCCACATCTGTATAAGATTGCAGCTGACACAAAGATGACAATGTAAACTTACTGTTTTTCTTGATGTATCACTTGGTACAGCAAGATAAAAATACTTGATACTTAATAGATAAAAGAGTGGGGAAGAATTTAATTTGTAGTTCATACTCAAACACTGTGGTAAACAAAACTTTTGGAAACTGAGTGTCATTTAATTTGATTGTGATACTACTTACTGCTATTTCTGGAAACATTGTTTCCTGAAAAATATTTATCATTTGGCAAGGATTTTCACAATTCTCAGGCATATGTATTTCATTTCTGGGACAGAGAAATGGCTTTGCAGTCTGTCTACAATGTGAATATCCAAAACAAAAAGGAGTATCAGCTACTGTATAAGACAAATTTGTGAGGATCTGAGTTACTGTTCTCACAGATGGTTCTGATTTACACTGTTACAATACCCTAAACAGTAATTGCTGTCTCCTTTGGCTCTGAAACATAATTAAGAAATACAGGTAGCAGTGGGAAAAAACCCGAGGGTTTTAACTCTTTCTAATCATTATTTGTACAGAATAGCTTTTGCACTGAGTACATCAGCTGAATGAAGGAACCACTGAAGAAGTGTGTTTACTTAGGATACTGAATTACAATTCCACAGCATGACATTGCTCCTTACTAGTAGGCCTACGGAAAGTAGTCCTGCATGGTAAGAACCATTATTTGGCAGGAGAAAAACTTGTCCTCTGAAACATTCTAATTTTGTTGGAAACTGCATAGCATCTTCTTTATGAAGTATGTTTTACTTTTTAAGTGATAAGTTTCACGAGATGGCTCTTGGACTAAGCATTTTTTATGTATACTTCAACATAAAGAAGCCTGAACAATGTCTATTATGTGATTCAGAATTCTGAATTTTTTACTAATGCTGGAAAGAACTTTTGAAGGTTTCAACATACATTCTTCTCTAAGAAATAAAGGACAAAACTTCCCATTAAGTTTTCAATAAACTTGCGCTTGTCAGCAAAATACTTGCATGAAAGCTGCTTTTTTCTTTCTTTTTGTAAAATGTAAGTGAAATAGATTTTTTTTTTTGCAAGAATAAGACAACACTGGAATTGTTTGCTTGATTAAATTTATCTTACGTGAACCTATGAGAATCTTCCTCTTCAGTTTTATAATATATAGTGTTTTATTACTTAAACACTAGTTGAAGATGAGCCACTGTACAAAATTGAATATGACTAAGCTCAGTGTGTCAGAGAATTAAGCTTTGCATCTCTCAGTGCCGTCAGTTTTTAAAATGTTGTTGTCATTGATGTAGTTTAGTGAGACTGATCCCTTTGTTTCTGTCTCATCTCTTCTCCCTGTTTGCATCCAGTATTGTTGTCCAGATATGGTAAATAACTTTTTCTCAGAAATGGTCAAAACAGAGTGTTTGAGCACAACAAGCAAGACCACTGAATCTGAGAAAGGAAAGCTGATTATGTTAGTGAATGACTTTTATTATGGGAAGGATGAAGGTGACCTCCAGCAGGTACAACAGGAGCAGAAGACTCATACGACATTTAAATGCATCAGTTGTCTCAAAGTTCTCAAAAATAACATAAGGTATTTGAACTAATTTCCTTAATTATTTGTTAATCACTTACACTCCATAATAGTCTCGTATATTAAAATTCTGTGTGTCCGGAGTAGAGTTCCTTTCATACTGAAATCTGATAGAATTGGGTGACCAAACAAAAATTGAATTAATTTTTACTTTGCATGTATGGCCATAACTTGAAACTTTTTACAGATTGGAGTATGAATTTTAGTGGTGTCTGACATAAACATAGAGTTTTGATAAGAGCAGTTGTAGGACATTGGGGTTAGAAAGGGCAACGCAAAGGATTTTACAGTTTGCCATCTGGATTGATGGCGATATTGGTAGATGCGAGTGTTAATTCCCTTTAGGGACGCACAATGACTAATAGTCAGTAGTTCACTTATGTAACATCTGTTATTTTGTTGGAGTAATTTTACTTCCAAATGCTGATAAAACCCCAGTAAGCTGTTTTAGTAGGTAGACAAGTTTGTGTCATCGTTCCTTTGGAAGTTAAGGTCACTGAACTTTTTTACATGCACTATTCAAGGTAAGCTGAAGTAGCAGAATGTAAAATTGAAAAATGGGCTATTGTTTCAAAGGGCACAGTCTGCAAGTTAAAATGAGCAGTTTTATGCTAACATTAGACACATATTATTGAAAAAAACAAGTTTTCTGTAATTAAAACAATGACATTTGCTATTAATCATTAAATAGGCACTATTTTCTACTCAGCATTATATTGTAAGCAATTGATGCTGTGGTGCTTATGTGTTCCACAGAAAGTCATTAAAAATGTACAAGCCGTTTTTTTAAAATTTCTGTAGCATTGACTTTAGCCATATTAATTTTGGGTGTAACATTGTGACTTTATTCCATAGTTCTATAACTTAAGAATTTTTATTCCGAGGTTTATTTTGCACAAAATAAATTTATTTAGTGGACAAAATAAATACATCTTTACCATCCTAATTCATGTATAACTTTTTTTACTTAAATTCAGAAAAGCAGAAAGTGATTCATCATGGTAATCCCCAGCTTTCTTTAAAAGATCTGTGGTTGGACATACTGTTGCAATAATTTTCTGTGAAGGTGTTATACAGTAATAGTGTCAGTTTCTTTTCTCTGCTTAGAAAACTGGATAGACTCAGTTGGCTTTTTCTGGTTTTCTTGTTTCTGTTTTTTAAGCAACTGCATGATAATACAAGCTTGAGCTCAAGAGACTATTCTCCTTGCTCATGTGTTTTTTCCAGTTCCAAGGTCTACATTCCTTTTGTGAGTGTGACTTAGTTTAATAGTTCCTCTTCAGTCTGATGAACTGAACAGGGGTGCCTGGACTTCTCAGCCAGAATAGGTTCCTACTTCAGACAGATGGACAGATTGAGGAAAAGCTGGTAACTTGAAGTAGTACCATACCAGTTTCTCCCACTCTTAATGTTGGCTGCACAGGGGCGGTTTTGATAACTGTCCTTCATAATTCAACATCAGGCCTAAATGCCTTAGACAAAGAATGTTCTAGGAACTGCTGCCATGGTTTCACATACAGTTGTCATGTCCAAATTGCAGATACGTTCTTGCTATGTAATACTTTTCAGCAGAGCTAAAGTTACACATGTTTCAGAATGGGGCTTTGAGAGTGCTGGTGGTAAATGAAGTGTGAACAGCTGACGGGTTCTTCTTGTCTTTACTTATTTCCCTATATTTCAAGGCAAGAATTTTGTCTAAGCAAACATGAGAAATGTAATCGATTTAATTTTAGAACATGTTTTAGACTTCATGTGTGTTCCCTAAAGTCAAAATTTCTAGTCAGCTTTATGTTTGTTGCGTGTTTTGTTTAGTGAACTCTTATTACTTAATTTTTTTAAAATTGAGAAGTCCTTACAGAGTAAAATTTCTAAAGAATCCTGTACATCTTGCATATGATATGTATAAGGAATGTTAAAATGTAGTTTTTTGCACCTGTTCACTGTAATTTAAAGGTTTATGAACCACATGAAACATCACTTGGAGCTTGAGAAGCAAAGCAATGAAAGCTGGGAAAGCCACACCACCTGCCAGCACTGTTACAGACAGTTCCCCACGCCATTCCAGCTGCAGTGCCACATTGAGAGTACACACACGCCTTACGAGTCATCCAGTGAGTTGGGACCTGTCACACTGAATCTTTTTCTAAGCCAAAATTTTTAGAAATTTCCTAGTATTTATTTCCTGGATTGTAATTTCAGAATTAATATACTGTATTCGAACTACAATAATCTGAGATTTAATATAGGAACAGAGACCTTTTTCTTTTGAGAGCAATATATATGCAAAAAAGTATTTTTAAAGGCCTTTGTTTTTTTTCTTGCTTTTTTTTTGTTTATTTATTTATTCTTAATTGAAAACTTTATTTTAAGACCTCATGTTTAAGGCCCTTGCCTTCCTGTCTTTCTGAAACTGTGCAGGGAGTTTCTTCTAAAGAGTAGAATGACCATTAGATTTCTCTACCTTTAGTGATATATATATTTCACATATATATGTATTATAATTTATGTACATATGACCCCTATAAAATTTTTACTTTTTTCTTATTTTTCACTTTTTCTAGCGATTTGTAAAATCTGTGAATTATCATTTGAAACAGAGCAAGTTCTTTTGCAACATATGAAGGACAATCATAAGCCAGGTGAAATGCCGTATGTTTGCCAGGTATCTCAGAGTGACTTGTATTTAGATTACACCACTCCCCTGTCTTCACTGTCAGTAAACTTGTAACAAATAAGTCTAACTTATTATTTTAGGTGTGCAGCTACAGATCCTCAGCTTTTTCAGATGTAGAAACACATTTTAGAGCAGTTCATGAAAACACAAAACATCTGCTATGCCCATTTTGCCTCAAAGTTATTAAAATTGGAGCACCGTATATGCATCATTATATGAGGCATCAGGTAAGCAGATCTTTTCAATCTTTAATGCTAGAAAAATGCTAAATACATGTAAGGAATCTCTCTCTGAAAAAACAGATGTGACTGGTTTCTATGGTTGTTACTGGGTAATAGTTAATAAGAATACATTAGAAGAATTTCAGAAATCTTTAAGGGAATTGTTTTGTTTTTGCATGATAGCAGCTTCCTGTTTAAAGTAATCTCTGAATATCCTTGGAAGAATCTTTTTGCTACTTGGTTTATTCATTATATTGTAGTGATTTGATTCTGCTTTTCTCGAGGTTACTAGCAAACCTGCCACTAGTTCAAATAAAGAAAAGGATAATGAAGTGTCTTGCAACTGGGAATCTGATTCCTCCTCCTCTTAGTAACTGTCCTGCCTTGCATTTTCAAGTATCTAATTCCTACAGGGTATCGTATCTTCGTATAGTATTAGGAGTTTGTATGTTTAGTTGATGTTTTGGGACCTGCATGAGCATTGCTTGAGACAAGCTAGGGCTAGAGTTTTGTCATGCCACCCATGCTTACTATAAATTGTCATTTGTCTTTAACAGAAAAAGGGAATATACCGTTGCACTAAATGCAGACTGCAGTTTTTAACATGCAAGGAAAAAATGGATCACAAGACTCAGCATCACCGAACATTTAGGAAACCCAAGCAATTAGAAGGCTTGCCTCCTGGAACAAAGGTGAGTGTTCATGCAGGAAAACTTGAGGGGACAAAGGGAAAAAAGGTCTTGGTAGAGAAAAGAGTAGAATAGAAAGAAGTGCTTTTCTCCTTTCTTTTCCCAAACAAAGTGTTGGGATTGTATTTTTTGTGTTTGTTAGGTTTTAGTTTTTTCCCTCATCTTTAAAACGCTAAAAAATGCTCGTGTTTGAAGAATTACCAGGCACAGTTTGTGGTTTCTTCCTGGTGATGCATGGTTTTGCTTTCTGTCCCCTTGTTCCATACACCTACATATGCCAGTAGTCCAGCCAGAGCTGCTGCCTTCTTGAGCGGATGGTTAATTTGTCCCTTCCCATTTATACTTTCTTGTGCTGGGAGCTCCTTCTGCATCATTTCTTGTGAAAGATTTTCAGCTTATGGAAAGTGATGGCAAAAAAACATAAAAAAGTGCAAGACCTATTTCTGCATAGAATATATATGCTTAAAACTGGGTTCACCAGGTCTTTAGGTTCATAATTTGAAGGTATGTGAGGAAAACTTGGGTCCTCTCAGAACACTTACACTGTCTTTAAGTCAGTCTTCCATTTCTCAAGAAGGAACTACTTAGACTAGGATTTTCTTGTAGATTTTGGGACTTTCTCCTATGGTTTTTTGGTAGAGTGTCAAGATTTCAGGGTCTTCATGACTGAATAAAAGTTTAGATTATGTTAAACTTCATGTTAGTAGACCTTGACAGGATACAAATGATAATACTGAAGAAGGAATAATATTGTGAGTCAAAATCACATTTGAGAGCATGACAAAGGAGTTCAAGAATAGCAGATGAGAGGCCGGGAACCAGAATTACTCCTTCGAGTTCTAGGATGAGGAGCAAACATATCTGAAGGGAGTAGACTGGCTCATTATGAGGCATGACATTTTTGTTAAATCCAGGCACTGATGGGACGGTTTGATATTCTTCTTAGTAGGGCTATTTGGTCTGACACTTTTGCTACTTTTTTTCATTCAAGAAAGCAGATCTAGCCAGTTGCAGCCCTGGAAAGAAAACAACATGTTTTGTCATGACTAACTAGTTCTACCAAAACAAACTTTTTAAGCATCCAGTTGGCCATTAGAGATTAACTCCAACAGTATTTTCAGTGTTATGTAGTTTTCAGAGTAATTTTAAATTTTAAAACGAGAGTTTCTTATGCTATGATTTGTGCTGTAAAGTGGCTTAAACTTTGAGACAAATAGAATTAGGAACATGGAGAGCTTATATCTGAACAGAATTTTTTTTAAAATTTCATATTGTAGGTGACTATTCGAGCATCTTTGGGATCTCATCAGTCAGGATCATCAGCTACATCTTCTGTTAGTACGAGCAGTTCCACATTTCAGTTATCACCTAAGGCTAAAAATACAGCCACTAAAAATCATAACAAATCAAATACAAGCAGATCAAGAGGAAAATCAAAACAATCTACATCGAGGAAACAAAATGCATGGACGAACAGCAGAAAAAAAAAAGAACCTACAAATATAGCGTTTCATAAGCTAAGGTAAAATACTACCATTAAAATTGTTAAGTAGGCTTTGACCATAAATAACTGATCATCTAATGGTCTTTCAGTAACTTTAATGCTGTAATACAGAAGACCTGGCACCTCAGGTTTGCCAAGAAACCAGATGCATAAACTTTCCACATACTGGTACTGTGGTTGTAATTCTAAATCTTCATTCACTGCTTTTGGTGATGGCAGACTACTTTATGATGGAAGAACATGTGTTCTGGAAACTTCTCTGTGCCACATTTATAAATTTTCTCTGCATGGAACCTTTCTTTTTCTTCCCCTCTTTTTTCCTGATTTCCTTTTTATTTATTTATTTGAACCTGTTAGTTAAAAGATAAAATCCTGTCTATCCTAGGAGATACAGCATTTTAGGGAGCTAATAAAAAAATCAAGGAAGTAAAAGCAAGCTATTGGGAGAATGCTGTCCTTACCTTGACAATTTATTGGGGTTTGCTGTCCTTATGTTACAATTTTCATGGATGTTTTATGGACTACTTATTACACTGGAGTGTAATTTCATTGGTTATGAGGAGTTAGCATGAGTTAGAGATGGAAGATGTCACCCCTCCTGCTTCTAATATTCTCAGTGTGTAGCTCTGGGAGAGATCCAAACACAGTCAGTGAAACTGAGGAAGAGCAGGATTATGTTCTTGCTTTGTAGCTTTTTTAGAGCTTGTGGGTAATACTGGGGTGATAGAAAAGCCAAAGGCTTTTTCTGTGCATTGTGATGGAAATAATTATTGGAAATACTTCTTAAGTACATAGAGACAACATCAGCAGCTGAAGTTGGAGGTTCTCATCCACTGCGTAATCTCTTGTTTCCAGGAGTGGCCAATTACAGATACTTATATTAACTTTCACTTTTTTATTAGGATCAGAATTAAATCATAGTTCAAGTAAAAGCAAAGTTTTCTTCATTTGTGCTAGTGTACCTTTTAAGTATTTAGCTGGTGCATATTTAAGTTCCTCATTTTTCCCTGGTATAGGCAAGCTTGCTACTTATTTAAAGCAAAAAGTGTGAAATAGTTATCTTCTGAAAGTGTTGCTATTAACTGATAACGTTTTCATGTTACTGTTAGGTATCATGGGGGAACTCACAAATGCATTGAGTGTTTCTCAGGAATAAAAGATTTTGCGAGTCACTTTCCTGCTTACGTCCACTGCAGTTTATGCAGATACAACACCAGCTGTAGCAAAGCCTATGTCAATCACATGATGAGGTGAGAGCTCTTCAAAGTTTTTACTGGCTTAGTAAATACTTCATAAGTTCATGTAAGGTGTGAAGTGTTTGTTAGGTGAATTTTGATCTGGGTCCTCAGACTGGCAGGGAAATGCATAAGGTTGGATTTTTTACTTTTTAATAGAGTAATAAACTCCACATTCTTGTTTTGCTTTCAAATCCAGTGGTTCAGGCACTATTATACCTTTGCTTCAGAGTTTCTATAATATCTTCCATAATCACTTCAGCCTGACTGGGCAAATAATGACTAATCATTGCATGTTTTCTGGCTTTCGGATTGAATGGCTCTGATTTTGCAAGTGCTGAATGCATACAGGCCATAGGTATCACTAGTGAGGTTTGTACTCAGATGTGAAGGATATCTCAAATAGCAAACTCAAGTGGATACTTTTCCTTACACTACTTCTGGTCATCCATAGAAATAACATCTCATTTTGTCAGCAGTTGTGGGGCAGCGTAGAGTATTAGTGATGACAGCTGTAAAAAAGCCTGTAAAGAAAACAAATGCATTGTTTTCAGAGCCATAGAATTATACTGTACAATAATTAGATACAATTCACATAGCAGTGACAGTAAAACAAAATTTTAAAACCCTACTTGTTACTCCTGTGCCCTGAAGAAGCCAAGTGTATTGTGGAAAATAGTGAATGTGATTTTCTTTCTGAATTCATGTACATAGGAAATTCCTTGGCATTTGTGAATGCTAGGGTTCTTGAATCTGTGATCTTAAATTTTTAGATACACTTTATATTGACCTATTCACTCTAATTCCAGTGCTTATAGAAGTCCTATGCTGAAATAGTTTACATGATTTTATGTGTGTAATCTATTGTTGGCATGCTTAAAAAAATACTAAGGTGCTTAATTCCAACTGTAGAATAAAAAAAAAATTACTCTGGAAGGGGAAAGAGGGATCTTAGGTAAATTGTTCCTATAGTTGCCAGTGGTCTGGATGGCAGATCAAATTCATCATCCATGCAGTAAAATCGCCAATCTTCTGTCCTTTGTCCTCTTGATGCATCTAACCCTAGTGCATCTCCTAATGCGATGTTTTACAGCACCTACCATCACCTCTTTGGTGAGTGTGAAGAGAAGGTGGTGAGGAGGAGGAAGACTGTTAGAGGGAGGGTGTTTGTGGAGGAGCAGCCCCTGTACTTGGCTGCCTGCACATTACTCCATGGCAGAGAACAGTGTTGGCACATACTTAACCTGCATAAGAGACAACTTACAGGTTATCTGAAAATTTCATTTCTCATTGAAAGCCATCTCTTCAGGAAGCACAAGTTCAGCCAAGTTTTAGCTCTTTTGTGGTGCACTCTATAGCTACAGCCATGGTTCTTCAAAATTGCTGATGGAAGCAGTAAAAGTATGTTCTTCCAGGACTATGCCGGTAAAGTTTAGCTTTTCACCTCCCAAACTCATTTACAGGGGAGCCAATGTTTTAAGAGCTGAGATTTACAAGTTTGTAAGCTTTAAGCAATTTAATGTTTAAGAATCATGCAGGTCAGTAACTTAGGCTTCTTTTTTCATGTTTTGTCATGAGCAAATTGCAGTATCATGACTAGTGAAGGGGTTATGTGGAGTAATGCATTGAAGAAAACCAGCCTAAGTGGTAATGTTTTCATATATTCAGTTTTCACAGTGCTCGTCCAAGTAAAAGGTTTTGGATCTTTAAGAAGCATTCAGAAAAGCTACGGTAATTCAGCTTTTTTCACTTACAGATCATTATGGTTTTACTTTGTGATGTTGAACTGATAACTTAGGTTGAGGTTATGACCTCCTGAGTTTCCACAATTTAGAGCAGAGAAATAAAACCATTAGGTTTTCCAATAGCAATGTTCTGGTCAGTGCCAAATACTTATTTGTCCACATTTATGAACTTAATTCTGAGCAGTTTTAATTTTTTAATTATTATTAATTTTTGATTATTCATAAGATGAAAAATGGAGAGGGGGTTAGGGAAAGAAATAAACAACCATCCAAACAGAAACTCATGCTCTACAGATAAATTTCTGTCTAAAGTCATGTTCTTTGTACTATATCCAGCATGGAGATGCCCTGCTCATTGATGGGAATTTCCTGATACTAATTGCAGTAGAAAAAGTAAGATTACGTTTTTGTGAATCATCTCATCTGAAGTTGATTTTTTTTAAATAGTCTGTCCAGTTGCTGTAAGTTGAGTGTTTCCATGACCATACTGTAATTATACTTCCTTTTTGATTTTTATTTCCTAGAGGTGTGACTGTAGTGTGTCTCAACTGTGATTTCCTGGCTGATGTTTCTGGCTTGGATAACATGGCCACACATCTGAGTGAGAACCAGACTCATACTTGTCAAGTTATTGTTGAGAAATGTGAGTACATGAAGTGTCTTTTTTTATACAATATGTAAATACTTACATGTGGATGTCTCTTGTATTATCACATTCCTATTTTGAGTTGCATGATTTCTGTACTTGCATTTGAGTACTTCTCTATTTCCACATTTAAAAATATTCTTAATTAAATCCTTTGTTTTTATTTCCAGTTTCCACAGATAATGCAACTGCTGCACAAGTATCTCAGTAAGTTTTATTTTACTGCTTAATGGGTTTTTTTTCTATTAATTTAGTGATAAATGGCCAAAATTTGCACTTTGAACTTGGGTTTCTTTTGAATTCCATAGAATTTGAAATGTATGGATGAACAAGCCTTTACTGTACTAGTGCTTTTTCATCTTACCAGTCTACAACTACAAGAATGAAGAGATAAAGCAATTGCCCATTGCAGCTAAAACAAAGTCAGGCTTTTGTTCAGTTTGAAGAAAGATTAATAATCGTTGCAATGTTGGAACTTCTCAGTTCTGACCTGTCTATACACAATGAGATTGTTACTTCTACTTAATACTAGCTTTATAAAATTAGTGGTTTATATTCTTTATGTAACATGAATATGAATACAATAAGGAATGTCCTTTACTGAAGTAGGATAAATTCAGTTTTAATATTTAAAAATAATTAGGAATTATTTTAAAAATTATGTTCTTCATATGATAAAGGCATACTGTTTTGTATTAGCTTTTTTTATTCTGGCTTTTAAAGATTAATTAGTATGTATTAATCAAGTTTTTTAAAGGATTTGAGGAAGAATGTGCGGTGTTGTGGAGATTGTGTTTCAGATTGTGTTAGTTTGGGGTTTTTTTAAACCTTAGGAGAATCAGACATGCTAAGCTCTCCCTGATTATCCTGGAACAGTTTCTTAGGCTTTACAGTGTAGTTCATCAGCCTGTTTATGCCTTACTTCAAGATTTAGAGGTGTGTCAGTTCATTCAAACATTTGTGTTTTCTTCACACCATTTCAGAACACAGAATCAAAAATGTCAGTTAGACTGCAAAGAAATATTTTAAGAGATAGAAGAAAATTGTTTAACCCTGATAACCCATCTAGCCTTTAGCAGGATTCTAAAAGGCATGGTGAGAACTCTTCTAACAGAGTGATAAGTTCTTAGGCCTCTAAGCATAAATCAGCTTTCACTGAGTTTTGGAGATATCCCACATAGATTATTTAATATTTATTAAGTATTTTCTTTCTTAGTTTCCAGAAAGTGGCTAGTAAGAGGGAGTCCTCTAGTAGTTAAGCTTTCAGTGAAACTTGAACAATGACAAAATGAAGTGTTGAGCTATGATACTTGTGGAAACATTAGCTTTTGTATTTGGGGCTGCCTTAGGTGTTGGGAATTAATGCCTGCTGAAGTGTATGGAAGGGAAGGTTATAGATATATTGAGTGGTGGCTGAAGATGTACAGCTTATACACTAATACAGCTGTGACAGTCTATTGTCAGTACTGCAAAAGGATCTTGCTGTCTGGAGTACATTACAGAGACATGGAAATATGTAAGAGTGTTGGATATATGGGTATATATGTACTACTCAGAAGCAGATGGATGAGCACAGAAAAGATTTGAAGTAAAGTCAAGAGTATATGCAGGTTTGTTTCTGCAAGATGTTAGAGTAGGACTGATGCAGATAGCCATTATTTTTGAGAGTTCTGATGCTAACATAAAATTAGTTACTGGTACCACAAGTGACAGAAAATCCTTGATGGTGTTTTTTGAAACTGTCAGGCTCATAGACTTCATTAATTTCAGTGAATCTTGTCCTGTTCTATATGCTAGTTCTCTGATACTTTGGACAAGAATATATAATTGCTAAACTGAAGAGTATGAGTATTCTGTAGCAGATACTTTAATTGATAATTTGCTGTACAGAGTACAAAAAAAATGTTCATCTTTTTGTGGGCTGGTTCTTAGTGGTGCTCTTTGGTTTCTTTGGAAGAAGAGGAACTTGCAGACAATATTCATAACTACTGCTGTATGGTTTCTCAATCATCTCTGAATGTTTCTTCCAATTCTTTGACCTGTAATTCAATGACTTGTTTATGGGACTCTTCAGAATCGGTTCATTATTGGAAGCAATGACTCAATTACGATCTTGAACACTTTTGGATCTTCTCTTGCGTCTCTCAGATGGTATCTTTTGGTGTCTTTTATTATATATTGGATTGTCTGTATGCATTTTAAAACTCATCTTTATTGCTAATGATCAGACATGTTCCATGAACTCTGTGTACTGTTACAGAGCCTGTCTTTGGACCAGAATCCTGCCATTAGTAATACAGATAACCTAGCTGGGGATGTTCCAGCGGAATTTGTTTTTTAAATTTTTGCTCTACATAAGTCTTCTTGTTTATTTGGTGATCCACCTTGTGCTGAGGAAGTAAGATTTAATAACTATGCAAGTATTCTTCTAATTGCTCAACTCTCTGCATTGCACAACCATTAACATATTTTTAAATGAACTGACAGCAGACATTTTTGTTGCAGGGCAGTTGAAAGTGAGCAGGTATCCTATACTGCCTTGGCTCACTGATACATCATTGTGGACCAGAAAATTGAACCCAGTCCAGCTTGGGATTATTTTGGTATGTAAGCAAACAAGGATCTGACCAGACCTTTTTCTTTTTCTTCATTCACTGAAGCTGTGGTATTCTCTTCTTGCATCTTTTAGACAGCAGGTCTGGTCTTTTCTCTCAATATTGTAGTCAAAGGCCCTTTTTGATAATGTTCTCTGCTTTACAGCATCGATTGGCAGCTTTTTGGGGGCTGTACTCTGTTGAAGAGAGGCTTACCAGGAGTGTCACTTACATGATGCAGTGTTCCTTTGCTGCTCATGTGCAGCATTTCTTCCTTGCTCCAGTCTATCAGTATTATCCCAAGCTAGAGTAGTGAGTAAATGGTGATATATATGGGCTGATGTCAAAGCCCAGTTTGTTCTGAACTTGATCCCACCTTTTGAAACTAAAAGGCTTTGTCGTTTTTTGGGTGTTGACTAAAGCATACAAGTCCTGATCTACTTAACATTCAAGTAAGTTACATTTTTTTGTGCCAGTGACTTTATGATATATAGTGGCAAAATATGCTTTGAATGTCTTCTGTTGCATGTAACTACATAAACTGAGTCTTGGCCGAAGGAACTTAATAGCTGCTTTGCTCTGTGGTAGGTAAGCTTCTTTTTACTCCAAAATACTGTGAGAAGTGGAAAGCATGTAATGGAAGTACATACATTTATTGAGCCTTGATTCTGAGGGTGGAGCAGCTACAGTTCCAGTTGATTTCACACCTTGTTCTTTTGGTATCATCTCTCATCTTCAAGGGTGCTCTATTCAAGCTGCTGGGACCTTTGCTGCTTTTGATTTTACTGCTTCTGATTTTGTCTTCAGTTCTAGATTATCTATGGCAAGTTTATCCATCAGGATATTTGATGAGCTTTGCTTTTGCCATGATGAACTTGTAATGTTCCTCCAAACTCAGCTTCCTGTTTACAGTGGATATGTTTTGGTTGAATCTCTCATTTCCTAGCCTGAAAACAGCATAATAGATAAAGCTTACCTCACTTTGGAATCGGTCACTGATATAACTTCCTAGTTGTGAGAGTTCAGTTTTGGTGAATGCAAGCTGTTCTTGATTTGCAGCACTTACTTTTCCTGAATAATTGAATTCTTTGAGATTAATTCATTTTGACCAGTTTTTTTGTCCTCTTGACTTTGAGTACTCAGTCACAAGTCTGGTGATAGTGAGCTTCTGCAGCTGTTTATTGTTGCTAATAATGAAAAGGATCCTGTCATCCATTGTCTCTTCCACATATTTTGTGGCTAAGCATCTTCACACTTACACAGTACTCTAAAGTCTTGCTATTTTTGCTACCTTTTTTCCTTCTGACAGAAGCTGTGTTCCATCTTGAATGCTGCTGTTTAGCTTCAAGCATCACTTACCTATTACAGGTTTTTCTTGCAGGACTTAATTCTGTTTTGACATAGCAGCATTCAAAAAAAGCATAGTGGGTTTGTGTTTTCATTGTGAGCATGCTGTTCATTTCAGAGGAAGTTGATTTCATATTTCACTTTCATTCAGGTTTCTGACAACAAGAAGAATGAAATGTGATTGCAGGTTTTTGCAGGCTTTCAGAAACATTCGCTAAGTATTTCCCAGAGGTGACACTAGATAGACACTTGGATTTGAAGTTATGTGAATTCTACGTCTTTTAAATGCTTATTTGGAATATTGTCCTTCAGTTCTTTTGCAGCTTTGCTACAGGAATTTAAGTTTCAAGCTTGCATTTTAAACACTTATTAGGGTACTTAGAGATCTGAGAGATTTGTGGAAATGGTTCATGTAGAATCAATTGGCCTTGTGACATCCTGTTTCCATCTGTGTGAAAATCTTGAAAATGTTACTCATGTGGCAAACTCATAAAAACACTTCTAAATCATTAAAATAAACCTGCCTGACTTAGTATTAAATCTCTTATGATCCCAACAATTTACATGAATAATCCAACATATAGGACCATATCTGCAAGGGCAGAGCATGAATATGCATGATATAACCAGTTTAGCTTATGGTCAAAGAATTAAGATTTCATTTGTATGTGGCTTAACCTCTTTTTTTTATTTTTAGGACATTGAGTGTCACTGCTTGACTAGCCAGTTTGTCTTATCTTTGAAAAGTTGTACAAAGTGAATGTTTGTTTCTGTTATTCTGTTAAATGTAACTGTGTGGCATTTAAAGTTACATCTTTCAAAATAGGGAATTTTTGCAAGAAGGTGGGATTCATTAAAAAAAAAAAAACAAAACCAAAAAATCCCAAACCCAATGACCTTTCTATTCTTTTGGGTGCAAATAAATTTAAAATTTTTAATGCTGTGTATGATTCAGTTGAGTGTCTGGAAGATATACTGAGCCATTTAAAGTTGATTTCTAGAAATTCTTGAAGCTACAGTCATCCCTGAAGAAGATACTTTTGGTTAGGTGTGGACAAAAAAATAAATGTTTGGAAAAGATTCCAGCTATACATAAATAAAATTAAGGTAGAGAGTACAAATCATGAATCCAAAGTAAACCATAATAACAAAGATGTGGTTATAATGGAATGTTATGAACTCTGCTCATTTCCAAACCAACATAAATGAGCCAGTTGGAATCTACTCTGTAAGGTATAAAACATGAACACAAAAATTTCTCAAATTTGGTAATGTAAAATAACATTTGTAATAGATTTTAAATAATCTATAGATATTAGATCAAATTCACACACATTAAATTTAGTGGCAAAAGTTTATTAAGACAAGAAAAACAGTATGTTTTGTCCTTGGATATGCAGTACCTGATCTATTCATGTCTAAGTGAGTCTAACAGAAATGACTGTTTTATGACAAATGGCTATTTCCAACATATTTAAGTTCTTGCACATAAATCATTAAAGAAGTAAAGCTAAATATTTGGTGTTGCATCATCTTATACTGATGTGGCTACTCATGATTCCATACTTCAGAGTATTTGAAGTCCTGACCCCAAAAAAATATGTTCTCTTTTGATTCATCCTGATTATTTCTCTGTTAATTAGAAGAGTATTTTTACAGTGGTACTGAAACCAATCCTTTTTTGTAGATATTTTTGCCATCTAATGTTGCAGATTAAGATATAATAAATAATAATGTGTGATTGTTTATGCTACCATTTAAGATGCTGGTTAGCTGCTAGAACATTAATGTTAGAAAGTATTCATGGTGTGCTGATACTATGTGCTTAAATTCTTTAAAAGGTCTGGGGTTAGACTGCTTTTTTGGATTTAGGAATATACATGTGGTTGATCAATCTAATATTAGTATACAGTTTTCATAAAATTTAAGTGGCAAAGCTGTTTTTTATGTCAACCATTAAGATTTGCTGAGGTTGTGAATAATTTAATTTATGATTAATAACATTATCTAAATATAATAGAGGTAGCGCCATACTTCAGCAGATTAAATTTGCCTTTAATGCAACATCAACAAAGAAGATTTAGGTATAAGCAGTTTTGAGGGGCTTGTTTGGTTTTTCTTTTTTTCTGTAAGAAACCTTTGAAAGGTTAGATTTTGTTAGAACTGATGACTTAACAAGTTTGTAGGAGATACTTCTTGCTATCTCTGTGATAACATTTTCTTACAGAAACACAGAAAATCAATTTTGGTGATGTTGTGATAAGCTGTTTAATTAATGTGCTTTTCAAAGTCAATAAATTTAAATAATTTATAGCTCATCTAATGTATGGATGGTGCCTGTAAAGGTATTTTGCAGGAAGCATCCCCTCCAGATAGTAGTTGGAGGTCAGCTGCAATGTTTTACAGTTGTCCTAAAGTAAACTACTGCTCTGTTCTGGGTGTTTGGGTTATGGCAGACAAATTAAAGAAAACTGAATTTATATTGGGGATTGTTTTTGTCAGGTAGCTTTATGCACTTAATTTAGCATTTCGGATCTTAAATTACTTCAGTCATGATTTATAAGGCCTTTCTGGTGAGGAGATCATTCCTCGGGTAGAATTAGAATAAAATAATGCTTACTGTCTTGTATGATTTTTCTTTTAGTGTGGTATTTTAGATTATCACAATCGCTATGGTCTGCTGATTCATCTGCAGTTCATTGCAGAGGGAAATAATTTCTTTGGAGAACTGTTCTATCTAAAGGAACTTATTGATGTGCTTAGCAAGCTGAAAGATCATTGTTGTTTGTGGATAATTGTTTTTGGGATGTGATTGTTGCACAACAATATGTGTGTATATGTTTATTTTCTTCCCCTCCCTTTCTGTGTTTTGGCAAAAATGAATGAGAAAAGGGGCTGGGTGGATGAAGCTGAGATTTTGGTTACTAGAAGGTGAAAAAGATTGTAAACAATCTGTTTTATATGTTATGGGCATATTTGTTCTTTGAGGAGTTTCTTGATGTGAATCTTGTCTCTGTGTATACACATGTATATAATCCATCTGGGTTTTTCAGTGTGGAAACACTGCTGTTTGTGGGATAATTAGTTATTAGTCGTCCCTTTATTTAAAACTTTTTTTTTGTTTTGTTTTTGCTTATCTGTTCAAAACTTCCCACATAAAGCACAATATTGTGCCTGTTAGCTGTGCAACTCCTCTTGCCCTCAAGCTGCTTGTTGAAAAATTGCAGTTAAAGGTCATATGTGTATGCACTGCTTCATGAAGAGATTACTAGATTTTCATATGAAAACAGTTCTAAATATTGAACTAGTGTTTATATGGGTCTGTATAACTGAAGTGTTTCTCTGGAATAGATGAAGAAATTTGGAATAGTTACGACAAACTGGTTACGTCAGCTTCAGCTGATGGGTGCTTCTGAGCATTGGCTTTTATACTGGAACTTAGTCTTGAGTTTTCCTTCCAATATTACCTTTTTTGCCCTTTTCTTTCTAGATGTTTGAGAGAGAACTTGGATACATAATTGTGTATTCAAGGATGTCATCTATTCTTTAGCTACTCCACTAAATGAGGAAAAAACTCCGAACCCTAACATTTCTGTTTGACAAAAGTAGAAAATACAGGTTGTAATTTGGTAAAGAGTTTGGCCTAGCTCTTGAGTTGGTTCCTTATAATAAATGGAAAGTTAGTGTAACAGGATTAAAAGATTCCTGTGACTACCCCAGTGACCACCAAAATTTCACCACTGAAGGATATCCCAACAGTTTTTTGGTCCTGCTCAAATTATTCCTCCGACCTAGAGCAGAAGTAGGAAATGGCATATTCTTTTATTACTTTACTTAAATAAAAGTAAAACTTTTTGAGAAAACAGATTTCTGAATGGTTGTAGCTCCTTTTCCAGAAGAGCCATTTTCTGTAGAACTCAGTATCATTTGTCATATAAGTGAATCACTGGAATTGTTTTAAATTAGTTTAAATTCAATTTAAAGGATGAGTAGAACATATGTAGGCTTTCAGCTTGAAAAGATACGAGAAGACATGTAGCAAGGAGTTGGTTCTTCCTTTTAAGAGTTCTGAACTGTGCGTTATTTACAGAATTTGAGTGGCTTTAGCCAAAAAGTGTTTAAAACTACTTGAAGAAATAAAAAGGCATTTTGATTAATGAGCTAAGTGGTGAGATTGTGTTTCTCACAGCCTTTTTTCCCTGCATGTTACTGTACAGATAGTTACTTTCCATTTAAATTTTAAAAGTTCATTTGAGAGAATTTGCACTTAATTTCACCTTGTATATAGAATTTATATATGAAATCAGACAAATTCTTGTTCTTCCAGCTTTTTCTTTCCTCTCCCCCACACTTTCTTTTGTCTGTCACCATCATAATTTTAGGTAATTCAATTTGCTTATCATTCTGAAAAACTTGAGAATGATTAAAAATTGTATTAAACTTTTACCAGATTTAATCTTTATAGAAAAAATTTAACTTCTCTATTTCTGTGCTTCCTCTTTATAAACACACAGTTTTACTCCGAAAGGTGACTGAAAATGCTGCTTCACAGATTTACTTTTTCAGTGAATCCAGATGTGATTGCTCAGATAAATTTTGGATTTGTTAATTTAGATTTCCAGCTGTTAGCTTTATTCTCATGAGTATTTCAGAGTCAATTACTGGTATAACAGTAAAAAGCAATTTAATCTGCATCTGTGTCAAAGGCTTGCAGGTAGAAGAACTACAGGTGTTATTTTGGGAAATTCCATGTGCCACACAAAGGCAACCTTTCTTTCTGGAGCTGAAATACAAGAATTAGAATACTAATGCTAAATACAAAGCTGAGTTTGTAAATAGATGAGAAAAATGCAGCTGTTAGTTAAATTCTGCCTTTCTTCCTTTGAAGCCTCATGACAAATCCTAAAGAGGAAATCTTCAATACCTCTCTTAGTGTACTTTGCAGAGTATAGCCAGGCATTGCTTTATTTCATTTATAACTTAAAATTATAAAAATCATATCTAAAAATAAGTTGTTCTGGTTTTTTTCAGCAAACAAGAGCACGACTCTTCAGATGAAACAAAAGAATGCAGTAGAAATCAAACAAAAAAAGTTGCATCCATTGAAAAGAGGGAAGACTCATCACTGTCAAATACAGAAAATGTTTGTAGTTTGGAACTCCCTGGCAATGGCTCAAAGAATTCTTTACATGAGAAAAGAGCATACTGTGATTCAGCTAATAGTGAACAGTTATTAGATGACAAACAGAAATGTATTCATGATGAAAGCGAGATGAAAATGTGCCAAAGCTCAGGTGACATTGTCCTGAATGAGCAGACTAAAGTGCGTACCTGGGATGAAACTGCGCTTTCAGCCAAGAATGTGAGGGACTTAAAGCTGACACTGGGGGAAGATGTCAGCTTTGAGCAGTTCCTGAGAAAGAGGGATGAACCTGAATCTGTTAGTTCAGACATAAGTGAACAAGGCAGTATTCATTTGGAGCCTTTAACTCCATCAGAAGTACTAGAGCACGAAGCTACTGAAATTCTCCAGAAAGGTAATGTCGCACCATCATCAAAGAAAGCAGGACAGCTCGCTGAACAAACAGATGAGACTTCTAGAGAAAGCAATCCCAGCAGACTGGAAACTGCAAACAAGACAGATGAGAATGAAGCAAGCTGAAACTGTGTTAATTTTTTTTGTTTTAAACTATGGTAAGAACACCATGGACCATTCCTGATGAGTGTGCTCACGGATGCTAAAGACTTAAAAAATGTTAAGAGGGAGGAGAAGAGACACCAAAGGGAAGTTTGCATATGGAGGTAGCATGTATGTGTATGTATGACTGAATTCATTAAGCTTCAAAAAGGTAACATGTTAAAATATATCTTCCTGTTTCTTGGATGTGATATATTATTAGATTGCTACTTGAAAAGAGGTATAAATTCTAATTTTTTTATAGTTCGCCCAGGATAAGGTGATTTGTTCGCCCAGAAAGTATTTTTCTAAATTCTTTAGTGTGAATATTATTGAACTGGGGATTGAGTAGGAATTAACTTCTGATGCTGATATGGAGCACACTTATAATGGAGGTTATTGGTCTACTGATAGTTTAGGTAAATATAAACCTTGGAACTTGGTGTCACATTCCTGTCCGTAAAAGCACGTAAACAGAAGTATATGAATTCATGCACCTCTGTACAGGTGTAATCCTGCCAGGCTGTAAACTTACCTTAATAAACTTTCAGTGAAAGTGAAATTATTACAATAAAAAATATATTTGTGGGGTTTTCACTGTGCAGGCTGTGCAGAAATACCGAACATAGCTGTACAAAGTAGGACATAATGCTGAAAGTACTGTAGCTTTTAGGCTTTTACCATTGGTTTAATTATTCTTAGCTATAGACCCATAGGAATGGTCTGTAAGTCACACCAAAGTATGGTTTGATGTAAAATGGTTTTAAGCAAAAATAATGAAAACTCCAAACTGGAAAAACCACCTGGCATGCATTTTGCCATTTTGCAGCTGCTACTGGCTAACCTAAAACTAGGACACAAGGGCATATAAAGTAGAATTGTACAGTTCAATTTCAGGACTTTTGTCTAAGTTATGTACAGAAAGATGGCTGCTGGTTTTGATTTGGTTTTTTGGTTTTGGGGGTTATTTTTGTCTTCTAGTTAGCTAGATTTAGGAATGCATATGATTAACAGTAGCTTGCTCCTTTGATTTCATTGCTCCATTTGAAACATTCAGAATGTGCTTTTGACTTACAGTTTTGTTTTTAATGAATGTTAAATGTTTTGAACAGCTGTTAAAGTACTGCTGTAAATTATTACTTTTTGAGTAAATATTTGCAACAAAAATTTGTCTTTGTGTATGATTTTATGCTCAACTTGAAACTTCGGGCATAGCCTTCTGCTTTTTAAAAAGATTTGGTGACAGTTCATAAAAAATAAGTAACTTCATTTTTGTGATTTTTAGAACTATGGTTCATTGGGGATTTTTGTTAGGTTTTGTTTGGTCTGTTCATTCATTTTATTTTAGAATTGAGCAAGTGCCTATGCATAAAAATTTTTTTGTACCTGTGTATTGTGATACGATGTGCTAACCTTTCCAGACTATACAGATATTTTTCTGGCCCATCAGCCTGCAACTGAAGTTTGCATTGTCCTCATAAGCTCACCAAACTCAGCTGCTGAGTCTAACAGTATTAAAATGTAGAGACTATCCAGCTTACTACTGGGACCTCTAAATAAACCAGATCTCAACAGCCTCAGAAGTTCCTTCAAACTCTAGAGTGAAGCATAATTTTAATTTTGGACTGCATCTTCGTTGTCATCCATGCACTTGTAGAAGACTTTTAAAAAGGAAAAGTGGAGCAGTTTATGTATTCACAGCTCTTTGAGATCTGCCTCTTGGAGAATTTCAAATACCATAATACATGAAAAAGCTGAGAAAAATAAGTTGCATTATTCCTTTGCTCTTTAAAGATTTTAGTGAAATCATTAAATAGTGGTTTGGTTAACCAGTCTGATGTGTTCATGCTTTTACACATGCAAGGTTACTCAATGTGAAGCTTTATTTTATGCAATTTAAGGCAGGTAATCAACTACAAACTGGATGGGTATGTTACCAAGTGAGTTCTGAATGCATCTGTGTTGGAACCCAGGGAAATCTGTAGTATTTTAATCTGATTGGTGATCTTCCATGCAAATTATATATTTTGAATAATTCTCTGATATGTGGTGTTAGAAAAGATAAAGTTCAACTGGAACCAGTTGCGATACTTGAAATTTCCACATGTGTCTTTTATTATGCATTTAAACTTTTAAAACATCTATCATTTTAATAAGAATTTGGAAGGATTTGGCCACACAGTGTTGAGAAAAGGTGATAAATAGAATTCAAACACCTGTGTATTTGGCAGAATTATATCCATATCATCTCAGCTGCTTGTTACATAAAATGTCATTTGTTTCAAACCATGTTGATAATGCTTATGCAAAAAGTAATGTTAGGTAAAAACCACTCAAATATCTTCTGGTCCTTCTGAAAGAAGAGGTGAAAAAACTTGATTGTTCTAGCAAGATCATCGGATAGCTTTCCATATACAGGGAAGGAATATCATGAAAATACTGGCATGGTATTTTTGTGAAGGAGGAGAATAAAACTCGTTACTATTTTTCTCATATGAAGTAATAGATATGCTCATAAATACTGTAAGGAACTGCACAAGTACAACAATAAATTTCTATAATGTTATTTGGGTAGTTTCCCACAGAAGAGTGAAGTTGAATTGGTACTTTTGGCAGAAGCTGCTGTGGAGGATTAAGTTTTCATTATGCATTTTTAGTTAACTGAACACAACTGTATATGATTCAATTTGTTATTTCTGAGTAATTTAAAAGTTTTTTTTTCCATCTAGCCATCAGTAGTTCTTAGTGTGTCACCTCTCTTTTTGTCCTGGAGAAGACATTTCACCTGTAGTTTTCATTGCCTTATCAAAAACCAGTCACTTAATTCTTGGTGTCCATAGTAGAATCACCCTTTCCCCTCACCCCAGCTTGTTTATATTGTGCTTATTTTTAAGGAAGTCATGTCCCACATGTATGCTGTTTATATTATTGTCATTTAATAGAAAACCGCAGTCATCATGATGATCTGTGAACATTCAGTCACTTGGATTTTCCTCAAGTGCAACCAGTGTCTGTTTGCCTTGTGCAGCTTGGGAGAGAAGCTTTGGTTCACCTGTGATTCAGATTTTCTAAGTGGAATGGCTGAGTAAATGTAAAAAAAAAAAAAATCCAATTGTAGCACATACTGAATTATAAATATTGGGTGATGTATTCTAAAGAAGAAAGTTTTTATAATAAAGCTATCTACTTTTCCTTGGGCAGGGAGAGAGAAGAGCCTTGGGCAATATGTATTAAATCTCATTTCTGTCATGCTACTTCTAGAAGGAATCAAAAACTAAATGTCAGGGTAAAGAATCTTGACAAATGCTTGTATTCTGCAGCACCTTAAATAAAAGATCTTAAAGCTTTTCTGCAGGCATTAAGCATTGTTATTTATATGCTGGCATGCAGAAAAGTCAGGTTTTTGTACTGTTAGATACACAAATACTCCATTAAAGACTGTGACCATAGGCTGTGACAGCAGAATTTTGTTAGACCATTTAGATTTTTTTTGTAGTGGTCAAATTTATACCTAATTGTTCTCTTTTTGTTTTCATTAGTGTTGGTTTTTTCAGCTTGTGAACTTACTTTGTCTAGTTGTATCCTGTATATTTTGATGCTTCACATGCCTTTAATAAAAGAAAAAGGTAAGTATGTTTTATGATTACATTGAATGATTTTTGCTTTGAAGAAAATGTTTATTCCAGTTTTAATGTAGTTCAAAAGGACAGTTCTTAGTCCCTCAATGAAGGATGGCATGATCTCCTCTGAACATTGTTTTTATGCAGGATTTTGACTCTAATTTTCCCACTTAATTCTGTCCTAAAAGGGGAAGTATGTTGACTGGTATTTTATATTAGCTTACAGACACTACACAGAGTTCCTTTGAGTCTTGGACTGTTATAGCTCTAAGACAGCTAATCAAAATTTTGTATTCAGTTATTTCATTGACCCGAATTAAGCTTGTAAAGTTGGTATTTCGTTTTTGCACCAGATTAAAGAAAAAAAAAATTGGAAAATGTTTAGTTGTGCCTTCAAGGTGCTATAAAGTTAATGTGTTTATTGACATAAAAATGTGCTGGGTTTGTTGACGGGCTCTTTCCTGTTGAAACCATTATATCAGGGAGGCTGAGTTTTTTCTGACAACCAGAAAGGTAACTGTGATGTTATATCTGTATCTGCATTTATGTTTGGGCAAATTTATGATCATATTAAGAACTGCTCAAATTATGTGTGTGAGCTGTAATCAGGCCAAAATAAGATCAAGTCTGTGATCAAAACTGGTAGCTTTTCAGCAAGCAATTCTCCATTTTTAAGCAGCATTGCTAGGTTGCTTATGTTATGAATCTAATGTAAATAAATGGCATTTCATACTCAAGTTCACTAAAGTCTCAGTGTTAGGCAATTAAGTCAAAAGGGCTGTTTTCTCCAAAAATTTTTGTGAATAAAGTGGTTTCTTCATGCAGGAAGTTGTCTCATACTGACAAAGTATTGAAAATGTAACCTTCATATATAACCTTTACTCATAAATAGTGTAATTAAGAATTAGTCCTTTTGATTAAAGGAAAATCACCTGCAGGTCTGTTCCTTACAGCCTCTTGTGTTTTTCATATGAATCTGTCATGATATTCTAGCAACCAATTGAAGCCCTTGTTTTCTTTTTTACTGCTGTAGAATTGGAACATGAATGCTTAATAGTTTTTAAATTGTGTGTGTTTAAATTACCTGTGTGTTTACTGCCTGAAATGAGGACTGAATTTCGTGCACCAGTTTCTCAGATTTTCAGGCAAGATTTGTCTTTCCACCTAATCTTGGAAAGACTTCACTACTTCTTGGGGCTAGCAAGCTGAAGGCACACAGTATCATTTCCCAGGTTATTTAATGAAATCCAGTGTATTTGTTAGGTATCATTTAAATGGGACAAACTAGAGGCAGTCAAAATGAATCCCAGGACTGTGAGTAATTAGGAATAATGCAGCCTTACAGTAGAACTTCAGAAACACAGAACTTGATAGACAATAATCCAAGCACTCTTCTTGACTAGGTGAGCTACTCAGCTGTCTTGGAAGCTTTTAATATACTGTTGCCTCTTAATTGCTATTCATATTTTGACAATAATAAAAATATGTTGTCCTCACACATAATTTATGGTTTATATGTGTTTACACAGTCCTTACAAATGTGTGGGTTATTTCCATCAAAAAATGTATTGTTTGAGAGAGCTTACAGTCTACTTGCACCATTATGAGAATTTCTTGGTCACATCTCTTTAGCAAAACATACAAACAACAAGGAGAGGGAAGTATGAAAAAAATGTTTAGAAGGTCAGTCTTTTGCTTATCCTTAATTAGAGTGGGTAAAATATATCCACTGTGATCTGACTCCTTGCCATAAAAGCTGTATTCTCTTCCTTATAGGTGATGCTAAAGGTGATAGGAATTGTGAACAGAATCTCCAGAGAAAATACAAAGCTAACAGAGTGTTACTGGATTACCAAGATGCCTCACTGCAATAAAAGATCAATAAGATGCAGCAGAAAATGGGCACTTTACTGTGAATGGAATATAGAACATCTAGAAGGAAAATGCTTCTACTTTTAGTCTTTTATTTAATAAGAGTTTGGTTAATGAAAGTAGACATCTCTATTAAGAAACAAGAGATTCTGTGCAGCATCAGACAAAACTGTTACCAGTCACATCATAGCACAAAGATTTGACCTGGCTGTAAACTGATATTCTTGAGTTTAATGTATACCAAATAGTTAAAGATCAATAATTTATTAAGTTTACTGGGTCCAAACATAGTCCCTGTCAATCAAGTGAAATATATATAATTGCAATGTATCTGGCTATGGGGAGGTGAAAAGCATTTTCTGCAGCTCACCTGTATTACCCACTATCAACTTTTGTCTCAGTCTTGGAGTCAGCTTCATTTACCCTGCTGAACATGCAGAGAAGGAAACACTTATGCTTGTTGGAAATCTAGAGAAAACCAAATAAATACTTGGGTATAAAAGTAAAAAAAGTGACTTCCCCACTGTGCCAGCAGGTAGAATGCTGTGATTGTAGAGGTCATGCCACAGAACCATTGATCAGGCTCTTCCACATAGTGTCCAGTGGAGCTCTAGAGGAAGTTACTGAAGCTGAAAACAGCTAAAAAAAAAATGCAGATTCATCTGTTTAGGTTTC